CACCAATCCCTTGGGACGATCCCTACTCGCCCTAACTATATTTTTAGTGAAAGGTAGTAGTGGCAAATTATAAATGTAAAACTTAGCCACACTCATCTTAGTCCACTTTGCAGGCTTTAGTGCTCTCGATTCCACACCAAGCGTCACTGTTTGTCGTTAGCATTTGCGGCAAAAAAATTTTGCCACTATTTCCTCACTCATACTGTCCATCTCATCACTAAGTGTGATCCGCTGAGGTACTTGCTTTCGCGGCCTATCATTTCAGGACGAGTTACGCGGTGGCTTCTGATACTGGCCGAGTTTGATATCTAGTGCCTCGCGCCATTTTTAGCCAAGCTCTGGCAGACTTGATAGCTCAATTCCCTTCGGGTAAATTTGAACTAGTGCAAGATGATCTCCCTCATGAAAAACTTGAGTCCGCTTGAAAAACTTAAGTCCGCTTGTTGTGCAGATGAAAACGCGGTTTGGACTTTGTCTTTTAATGGATGGTCGACCTCAAAGGGAGGCGGTGCAGGGGTAGTGTTGACCTCCGGAGAAGGAAAAGCTCAAAATCTCTCATTCAAGCTAACCTTTGGATGCTCCAACAATACTGCAGAATATGAGGCTTTGGTGTTGGGACTGTTAGCAGCTCGAGAGGCCAAAGTTAAACGATTGTATGTTCAAGGGGACTCAAATTTAATGTGAAACAATTGGATGGATCCTATGCCATTAAAAAACCGGTTATGGCAGCTTATAGAACAATTATTCAAAAGCTCAGTACCTATTTTAGTGAACTTCGCGTAACTCATGCGCCTCGAACGGCTAACCGTCACACAGACGTCTTAGCCACTCTGGCGTCCAAAGTTGAAATCATGGGTGAGTCAATCGACATCCGGATTCATAAGAAGGACAAGTCGTGCTTACATGATGAAGGGTTTATCGGTCAGGAAGGTATGAAGGATTGGCGAAACCCATACGAATCACAGTTGAAGGGCCGTGCGGGCGAGATTCCCTTAGTGGTGCTTAAAAACTTCACACTGTATCTGGGAGTATTGTATTACCGGGCACTAGGCGGAATTTTAACAAGGTGCGTTGGACCACTGGAAGCTAGCCAAGTACTCGATGAGACCCATAAGCAAACGTGTGGTAATGACTCGGTAAGCTTGTATTGAAGAATACGAAGGCAGGGGTATTATTGGCCACAAATGAGGGATGATGCAGTAGCGCTGCAAAAAGCGTGTCCAATATGCCAGGAGCTCTTCGAGGGAGTCTAGTGTGCTGCTAGCACTGAAAGCGACTGGAGACAGAAATACAAAGATTACCTTGAAACATGGGCGCTCCCGCAAGACCGTGAAGAGGCTGCTTTGTTAAGGAAGAATGCGTATCATTTTTTTATATGCAATGGAGAATTAATGAGTCGAGGTTTCGATGGGAGAGCCAAATGTTGCCTAAGTCCTGCCGAGGCGCGCGAAGTACTGAAACAGGCTCATGAAGATGAGCATCAGGGATGGAAGAAATTGCATAATCGTCTTATACAGATGGGATACTATTGCCCACAATGCAAGCAGACAGCAAAGGGCACGCCCAAAGGTGTCGGGAATGCCAAATACACAGCCATGCTATCCATGCGCCTGCTGTAGCACTGCAGTTCATGAATGCTCTTTGGCCATTTCATACCTAAGCCATGGATCTGATAGGTCCAATCTCGCCAAAGTCAAGAAAGAAGAAATGAATGCTGGTAACAACAGAGGTCTTTACCAAATGGGTCAAGGCGATAGCTCTACCAACAGCGACGGGGCAACTAGTGGCAAACTTCATCAAGGAAAACATCATATGTCGCTTTGGTGTACCCTGGGTCATCCTGTCAGATAATGGAACTCCCTTTGTAAATAGCAGAGTCCGCAAGCTTCTTCGGACGTATCAAGTGACCCATTGCAAATCAATGCCTTATTATCCCAAGGGTAACGAACAAGCGGAGGCTACTGACAAGACTTTGTTAAGAATCCTGAGTAGAACCCTAAAAGAGTAGCATGACAAATGGGCCGAGCAGCTGCCCCCTCGCATTTTGGACGTATCGAACAGCTGAAAAGGGAGCCACAAACACTACACCATTTTCTTTAGTGTATGGTATTAAGGCAGTGCTTGATAAGCGTTGAATATTGTATATTTGAGCCCCTAAATACGCATATGTTAAGGTCTAAAGTAATACTTTTATCTGTATTTAGGCTAATTTATGTTAATGTGTGTTTGTAGGTACTTTCCCAGATAAATGGTTAAAACCGGTACTTTATGATGATATCGAAGCTTACAGAGTCGTTGCCGGTCATTTAGAGCAAGCTGAGAGCTTAAATAGTGAAGTTTGGAATAATTTAGAATCCAAAGCTCAAGCCCAAGTCATGAGGCTCGAGCCTTACAAGTCAAAGAAGATAAAAAAATCAACAAGGCATTAAAGCTCGAGCCTTATACCTTCAGGCTCGAGATTGAACAAAAGGTGCTTGAGCCTGACCATTGGGTGCTCGAGCCTTGACCCTTAAACTCGAGCACAAGGCGTCGGAATTTGAAGAGTTGATTTCCAAGCTCCCAGACCTCGTGCCTAACCCCGAGGAACGAGCACCATCCATTGAAGCTCGAGCCTTGAGAACCAAATGCTCGAGCCCGGTACTTAGTGCTCGAGCCCATGAAGCTTGGATCGAGCAATGGTAAAAGATTTTAATCCCAAGAATATTCTAAGTGTTGAAGAAAAAGATGCTTCGGAAAATAATTGAAGAAATTTGGCTAAGTTTCAAAGTGAAGATCGAGCACCAATTTTTGAAACTCGAGCATCTATCCAGAAAAGCTCGAGCCGTGTTCCCTAAGCTCGAGCCTGAACCTTAAAGCTCAAGCCTTTGTTCCTAAAGCTCGAGCCCTTCATGACATGCTAGATTTAAGTTGCGGGAAAATTCTCTTTTCAAGCCGTATCTCATTCTAGATGGGCCAAAAGACCTAAAAGCCCACCAGATATTTATTTTCTTCTATAAAAGAAGGCTTAAGCCTTGATAGAAGAGGTCCAAAATTTCAAGTCCTTTTTACCGTGTGATTCAGAAGGCTGATTGTGGTGGTTTTTAGGGTTTCCACAACCTTAGAAAGTGAAAATCCTGAGAAGAGAAGTGTCGTCCGTGACGATGGAGACAACTCCAACACAGATGATATCCGACATCGTCATGAGTAGCTAATTCCTCTCTTAAGGCACTGATGTTACCCAATTTAGTATTTTAGTTTAATTGTTTTAACTATGGGATTATTTTAATATATTATGTTTCCTTGATTATATGACTATGAGCAATTGAGACAACTCAATTGGTTTTCATGCTTTAATAGATTACAAACTGTTATTACCTTGTCTTAGACATAATTGTTTGTTTTCTATTCTCAACCTATCTTATTGGACGGTATCTGCGGAGCCCTGCCGGACATGAGAATAGAGGTCATATAATGGTGTTCCAATGTTTTTAATAAAAGAATATTTTCATAGTCTATGCTTAGGAAAGGTGGATTGTTTACAAAGTAGTTAAAGTAGTTAGAGTAGGTAGGTGGATAATCCACGCTAAGTCCTTGATCTCCTCCACCATTCTCTCTCTCCCGCCGAAGGCTTTAAGTCGCGCAAGTATGTCCTCGGCCCAACCTACCTTGACCTGTGCCCTTTTTAAGTTGGAAAGTAAGCGATCTAGGGACTCGAGTTCCCTCCCACTTAAAGGATCGTCCTTTGGCCTCGCGAAGGCTTATTGTTAACTCACACACAGTTTTATGCACAAAGTCTATAAATAGAGGTAACGACCCCTCGAGGTTCCTAAAAGTTTGAGGATACTTAGCTTTGACCTTGTCTAGAACCTTGGTTTCGCCCATAGAAAAGGTAGTCCCAACCCACGATATGAGCAATGGAGCATCTACCTCCTGTTCTAGCTTTGCAAAATTCCTTTATATTTCGCCTTGGAAGGTGACCTTCCCCCTCGGCGGTGTCCTCATTCAAAGCCGGTTGGGTCAAATCATCATCATTTGCCCTCGAACCATTTAACCCCGAGGCCCCACCCTTAGAAAATTTGCTAAAGCTCGAGCTCCTTGATTCATATAAACTATCTTCCTCAGGAGAGGGAAGAGACTTGATGGCCGTCTCTACCATTTGTTGCAGCTCGGCGATAGGTTCTCGAGGAAGTACTTGGATTACCTCGATCAATGAGCCGGTATCACTATTTTTGTCCTTAAGGCCAGAATGACGACCCTCGGAATTAGCAGCGACCTCGGCCACATCAGATGCAACTGCCTCGGCATCTGCAACAACAAAAAACAGGCTAAGTGTTTTTATTCCTTTCTTTGCAAAAAAGAGGGGGAGAGAGAGCGAACCTCGCTCTCGGAAAAAGAGATACCTGCGTTGGAGGGCGAATGGCTAGGGCTTCCTTCAAAATTAAAGGTCCCCATTGTGGGGTCCACAGCAGTGTTAATCTCTCCAATATCTTCATCAAATCGGCCTAAACCTCGGGCCAAGAGTGTGACAACCCGGATTTTTAAGATGTTAATTTATATTTATCTCATGATTTTTAGTTGTCAAAGTTGAGTATTTAATTTTATATTAGAGACTTACCCAATTCGAAATTTTGGGTTATTGATATTTTGTTCCTTAGTGTTGATTTTAGGAAATTAATTTTTATTTATTTATATGCAAATATTGGTGATGATAGAATGAAGGAGCAGTGGACGAAATTAGAGGAAATAAGAATGAAATTGTAATGATTTTGGTGCGGGTCCCATGAGTTATTTTAGTTAATGGGTTAGTTTGGATTTTAGTTGTTTTACATATATATTATATATATGATTTATTTTGTCCATCTGATTGTAGCAAAACAAGCTGCCAGCCAAGATTGTGAAGGAAAGAAAGAAATTGAAATGGTAATGAGGTGCGGGTCCCACTTAATTTTTAAATGGTTGATTGGTTTTGATACATTGTATATATGATATTTATATATGTATTATGTTGATCTGATAGAAGAGAGAAGGTGCACCTGCCAGCCGAAAAAGAAGATAAAGAAAAGGTAATTATGATTGCGGGACCCACGGCTAGGATTTGTTTGGCTAAAAATCCATTTGGGTTTGGCTGTTCACATGGCCTTGCTTTTTATTTGTGGCTGATGTAGTTTCTCGGTGATATGTTTGGAAAGTAAAGATGAGATAAAGAAAAGAGAAAAATTAGAGAGAGGAAAGATACAGAGTGAGGAAGAGTGCACACATACAAAAGGCCGAGAGTTTGAGAAAGAGAGAGAGGAGCTGAGTTTTCAGAGAGTGGTCCGAGAGGTTGCAGAGGAGGCCGGGAGCTTGAGGCTTAAATGATCTAGTGAGAAAAATTCTTATTCAGGGTAGGGGTCTCTAATTCATGGTCTTCTTGTACTTTTGTGAATTTATTTCTTATAAGTTGTTTAATTGCATGCTTAATTAGTGAAAGTTCTTGGAAATTTCTTGAATGCCATATATGAAATTGTGACAAGGTGTTAATTGATTATATTGTGTTTAAGCATGTTTATGTGAAATAAATTTATGATTTGTATGCTTAAATTGCTAGGAAAAAAAAAATGGAATGAAAGCATGAGTTGTGTATTTTAGTAATTTATTTGTAAAGGCTGGTGGGAACTTTATGGTTGAATTTATGAAATGAAGCATGAAGCATTTATGCATCCATTGGGAAAGAAAAAGGAGGGAAAATGTTTTAAAATAAATGAAATTATTTTTGGGAAAATATTTTTAAAGGTGTTTGCGAAAACCGGACGCCTAGGAGGCGCCTAGTGATTTGTGTTGTTAGTGTAGTCTAGAAGGGAGTATGGTTGAGTTAACTAGACCGGATGTAACGCCTTGGAGGTGCCTTGTGGTCGTGGATAGTTAGTTAATCATCCATTCGTGACGCTTTGGTGGTGTCTTGGGTCGGATTACACTAACGGTTTGGAAGTTGAAACGGAAATGTTTCGGAAATGAGGAGCGACATTTGCATAACATTGCACTTCATGACATTGTGGGAAATTTGTGATTGGTTGACATTTGCTACATATTTGTTGTTGTGGTTGAGAATACGTATTCCCTATGGAATGACCCCGTTCATTTTTACCCATTCTTTGTGTGCAATTCACGGGGATATAAGAAGTGTGTCTTAGACACTTCCTACTGAGCTTATGCTTACCTCTTTATTATTAAAAATTTTCAGGATATGGAAGGGAAGTGGTGGACGACGTTCCTCCACAGGGTCCGATGGGTTAGTGGACTGTTTTGACATATTTTGTAGCTATGATCTCATTTTATTATTATTATTATTCTTATTATTTTTTTTAAAACCCTGGGATGATACATATATTATGTATTGACGTAGGAAAGAACAGTAGTGTCCTTAGTTAACCTCGGGTTCGAGTCGTTACAAATTTTGTATCAGAGCATCTTTCTTAGAATTTTTGGGTCGTGACAAATTTGGTATCAGAGCATTTTCTCAAAAAATTCGGGTCTTGACAAAGGGAATCAGTCCCTTCCCCATCCCAAGACGCGAGGGCGGGGGAGGGGGGGGTGGGGAATTACGTAAAATGACAATATCGCCCTCGCCGCCTGCTTAAGGTCTTCAAGAACACTTGCAAGAGTATGAAGGTCAGAAGGAATGTCTAAACTAGCGCGAGCTTCAGAGGTATGGGTTGTGTCCTCAATGGACATGACAGTGACAAGAGCTTACTCGGAGGATACAGAGCGAGACCTTGTGCTTGAAGAAACCCTTGCTCGAGTCAGTGGGCGAGGAACTCCCGAAGGGACAGTGGAGGCCTTGGCGGTGGAAACATCCTTTGAAGTACCCTAAAATAGCATAAATAAATAAATGAATAAATAAAATAATAATAATAATCAACATAAGAAGTACTAGTGAGATGTGAGTGTTTACCTTGGCTCGTTTTGAAGAGGCAGTTGCAGGCACAAATGTGCTAACATCCTGGTCAAGTTTACGCTTGTCTCGGCTAGTCTTGGTAGCTCGGAGAGCTATCACGGGCGCGGTAGCATCTGACAAGGTCAGAGGGGGTAAATTTGATATACCACAAGGCTTGCCGCTTGCGGATATGGAAGTTTTCTTAAAAGATCAAAACGAGGCGTCGGCCTTTAATATGAAACTAGCAGGGACGGGAACTGGAGCACTGCTTACAAACTGTCTGAAAGAAGTGATTACCTCTTTCCAGTACGCTTTTGTTTTTGTGGCCCATCGCCCTAACCTTGAGGTAGAGGGGACATGAAGAATTTGGCGGTTCCCTACGAGCTCAGCTTCCTCAGAATCAAGAAAACGAGAAAAACCCGAGGCATATGTGCTATAATCCTGACGAGCTCCATAACCATAATCCCGAGAAAGCCCTTGATCACACCTGAACTGTCGAGCTACCCTATGAGGATTGTAGAGTTTACCTACTCCCGAGTGAGGGGGAAGAAGAGTGGGAAGATAACCTGGCAAAGTCATGGCAAGGATGGTCAAGGCTGGAATACGCCTCAGAGATTTGCCTAAAATAACCATGCCATCCTTTGAAGCACAGCAATCAACGCGAGGACCATGAGTATAGGGGCGAGCCACAAAGTAGCTCTCTCTGTCAATATACTTGGCCAATTTTTTCTTTGTACCATACTTGTGCCATTGAAATGACCGTTTCAAGCCATTGTCGCGAGGTAGCGTGGTGGGGTAAGGACCGTATTTTGGAAAATGCTCGTACAAGAACATTTGAAGAAAAATAGTGTTAACAGGAGAGACTACACTCATACGACCCACAGAACGCTCCATACGAGCATGCACCAAGTCGAGCTCGTGATAGAGTGTGCCCAGGAACAGTGCAGCTAAAAGGAAGCTTTTGCCGTAAGATAACCTGACAGCCAAAGGAATGAGGTTGGGCTAAGGCCCATCATCAGGAGGACCTGGAAAGACAAATCTGGATAACCACAACAAGAGAAAAGCAGTAAGGTTAGCTGAGTCTTTGCACTTAGGGCCACTGAAGGACTCTTCTCCTTCTTGGCCCTAAGGGGGAAAGTCTCAAAAGTAATAACGGAGGAGCGACACAAAGGTGCATTTCTTGCCTGTCTCTGGGAACTCCTCATAAAGCCCATCATCTTGGTAGCGCGAGGCAATCTTCCCCACCTAGGTATTACCATTGCGTAGCTTGGCAGCGAGCTTGACCTCATCCTCAGGAAGAGACCAAGAGCTGGGGTCATGCTCACCAAACACATTCAAACACATAAGTTGCATCACGCCCTCCAAAGTAGGAGTAAACTCCCCCCAAGAAATAACAAAAGTATGGGTATCTCGGCTCCACCAAGACACGAGAAGGGTGAGATTGTGAACATCCCGTGGTATGGTTAACTCTCAAGTGTTGCGAATAGTGTCTGTGATTTTCGAGCTCTGCAAAGTTTTAGAAAACTCAACATCAGACAGAATAGCATCTGTTCACAAGTCCCACCCTCGTCCCTAGCCGTCTGACTCGTAAAAGCAAGATTGGAGTGAGGGAAGTCACCACGCTCTACCCTGAATCACAGCACCGAGCTAGGTAGAATGGGTACCCCCGCTAGCGCATAAGGCTCACCCTTGAACAGAAAAGTGCCTTTTTGAACCTAGTCCACTTCGCTCAGCGCATCACTGTTAACCCAAAAAGTGTCGTTAGGACCAAAATAAGGGGCAACTCGTCACTCGGCTAAAGGAGGGACATCAGGAATGTCGTCGCGAGCTGCTATGATCTAAATCTAACCGTAAACAAAAACTTGTAAAGAGGAAGGAAGTTTTTTTTAATGTCTTTTGTGCTATGAAGAAATGACAAGTGTGGTTTAAATAATAAAGGGGTCTAGCATCCCAAATGTCGCGCCCTTGACAAACGAAAAGACATGATTCGGGAGTCGAAGCATCATGGTCTGGCGCGCCAATAAAAAAGCGACATGTGGATTGGGGAAACCGAAGCGACGTGACCCCTCAATTCTGAAGTGTAATAATAATAATAAATATTGGGTAAAATTAATGATTTGCTCGAGCTCCCTTCTCGGTGACCTCGAGCAAGGGGCAAAATGTTGATAATCGCGCCACGAGGCTGTCCAAGTGGTGCCACCTCTAAAAAGTAAGCACACTTGGCCAATATTTATTTGGCGTGCCCGTTGAAGGGACTAAGTATCCTCGAGCTACTTGTCCCGTGACTAGACTCGTTGGCCAAGGAAGGGGTTCCTACCCTTTCTCTTCTGAGGACGCGCCCTGCTCCAGTCGGATGGGCCCCTCCTCCCTACTCTTTCGAAGTCACTTCCTGCTGGGGCGATCTCGAGCTTTTCCTCTGTAAACTTCCCCTTCTGGCTAGAAGGACCTCGAGATGTAAAGTTAGGATAGCCTCGCAAGGTCAAGAAAGCAGGACCTCGAATAAGGCTCATCCTCATTCTGGATTCGGGAATCTGAGGACACGTGGATAGATGGTTGGGATCCAAGGTATCGCCTCAGTCGAAGGTCAATACGAGGGGGAAAGGACATTCCGTATCCGAGCTCGAGCTAAGAGTGATAAAGAGTGCATTAATTACGAAAGACATTTGACAAGATCTGTTTTAATTAAGGAGCGCCATTACCTCTTTGGACCGAGTGGCAAAGCATTGCGATCCATCCATCAACGTCCCATCTGTTTGGAGAGGAGACCCTCAAACCCTTGGGTAAAGGGCGGGCTCACCCAAAAGACTGAGAGACATTGACCGAGGGAGTGAGCACTATAAATAGGGGCATTAATCAGCCTTTAAGGAATAACAACCACCTTAACTACCAGACTTTGTCGAGCTTGAATTCATAGGATACCGAGGTCGGCCTTCCCTTTCTTAATCTTTATCGAGTCCCTCGTATTGCCTGGATCTCCACTTGGATACTGATATCAGATTTCTTAGCTTACGTAAAACGATCTCCTCATCCTACTAAGAACTACTTTCAACAGTGAGTAATTAGGTTCCTTGATCACTAAGAATTTTCCCAAATATATACACACACACACACACACATACTAAAGTATATGTATAAACTGTAAAGTAAAAATTTGTAATGAATAAATAAATAAATATATATATATATATATATAAGGATAATCTTATTATATATAAATAATATTATAAAAATATATTATCTATTGAAATAAATAACATTATAAAATTTTAAAATAAATTTTAATATAAAAATAATTTTGTATATAGAATTATAGGTTTAGGATTTTATTGGTGTATTTTGATATAGAAGTGTTGTTATGAACTTATGACCTTATATATTTAGTGAAATAAATTATATATTTCCTTCATTAAACTTCTACAATTTTTATTCTGACTTGTGCACTTTCTTCTATTTTTATTTTCTGGGGAGATTAACTAGACCATCATCTGTCTGCTTGATCCACTCATTACACGCCGTATATATATATAAATATATATATTGTTCGTTTAGCATATTCTCCTCTCGATTTCTCACGTCTATACAATTAATAAATGTTTACCCAATTAATAATAAAAATCAAACCTCTAAGTTATAAACTTATAGCCATGTCTAATTGAAACTTCTATTCAATCAAGGAGTAATAGACGAGGACAAAGTTGTCAATGAGCTAATAGGCGAGGACACTAATTTCTATCAATGTAAAGTTGTAAACCAACCGCTTGTTGTTTTATTATTATCCTAAAAGTGAATAAAAAGAGTCAAACACGAAGGCATAATTTGGTTCCCCAATTATTAATGGGAACCACGTGGTAAATTAAAACACCCTCTTTCCCATTCTTGTCTGCATTTTGTTTTCTTTTCAACCATCTGGCTTAGGAAATTTTTAAATAAAAAGCAACATACTAAATCATAACTAGGTCTATTTTGAATACAAAATGAGTGTCTTCAATAATTCATGTGTTCGGATATCACACCTACCCCTTGGAACAAATATAGCAACGAGTTCATAGATCAAAATCTTCTCCTCTAAACCGGTCCCAACAATTAACTATACATGTTAGGAAAATATAATAATATAAATTTAACATCGTAACATTTTTTTAACGTACTTTACTACCTTAAAGGGACCAATTTATTGTTGCGAAAAAGAGAATTTTAGTTCAAGTACATAGACATTTTGTGTTTGTGAGAAACAGTCAGCACACCGTGTATGTGTGTGAGAGAGAAAAACATTTTAAGACCATGCATGTTTTTCATTTTTTTTTTCGACAAATTAATGTCAAAAGGTTATTTTTTACAATTATTTTTCTATATTCCATTCATCTGTTGGAAATATTTCAATAAATCACACACTAAAAATCTAACTAAATTATATTTAGAATGGTTTATTGTGATTAATATTTCTTTTTTTAATTTTAGTATTTGTTACATCTCCACATATACATTTTAATCCTATACCCCACCATCTCCAAAGATATGCCCCCACAAATAAGTATATTTTTCACCAAGATATTTTTCTTTATGAATTTTTTTCTTTTATATTATCACACATGCGCGTGTGAAAACAATTGGGTTGTATCTTAAAATTGATATGACTATCAAAACTTGCACACACGAAAAATATCGACCTTAGGGCAACATGAAATGCTTTCCTCTCAATCTCGCAAGCCAATCTATTCTTTTAGAAAATTTATTTTAGTTTTATGCATATTATTGCAATTGTGTTACTTATTATGCTTTATTTCAATTTAATTGTATTATTATCAATTTGTAGTGGTAGAAGTATTTGAAACCCAAATAAATCCATTCAATAATTGTAGTTGAATCGATCTACAAAGTTGGTCCTATTTAAATACTTGTGTAACGTTGCTCCATCCACTTACCCAAAAATAATAATAATAATAATAATAATAAAATACTCCATCATATTTGATAACCATTTTAACTTACTTTGGGATAGACGTGTCTATGACTCAAGAATATATATAGGGATGAAAGGTTGAGAAGTTATTAGGAATTATTACATATAAATGGTGTTAATGACATATATTTATTATTTAGTGGAGTCAAAGTTTTATAATTTAAAAATAAAATAAAATTGACGAAATTACTGACATGGACATGAAAAAATATTATTTACATTCACTGAGGTACCACTTTTAAACACATAGGTATCATTTTTTGTACATCAGGTACCACTTTTGTGTTAGACATACAGATACCACTTTTATCACATAGGTATTATTTTTTGTCATCATGTACCACTTTTTGTGAAAAACACTGATTACCCTCAATGATGTACTACTTTTAGGCATATGGATACCACTTTTTGTGAAAAAACTGATTACCCTCAATGATGTACTACTTTTAGGCACATAGGTACCACCTTTTATCATCGGGTACCATAGGTGGTACCTATGTCCCTAAAAGAAGTACATCATTGAGGGTAATCAATGTTTTTTCATATATATATATTTTTTTTCGAAATTATAGGACTTTGACTCCACCAAATGATAAATATGAGTCATTAGCACCATTTATATGTAATAATCTCAAGTTATTATATGGTGATAATTGAACGGGACTAATAATTTCAAAATTATGTAATAATTTCTTTCATCCAGTGTGCTTTTTTTAACTTACGCGTTTAATAGTAATAGGTGTCTGTCCCGAGGCCATCTAAAAATTTCTCCCAGACATTTATGCTCAAGAGAAATTATGATATATTGAAACCGTGTGGTAAAGATAAAGAAAATCAATTCCACAAACTTTGGATCTGAAATTGCTAAGCATTGATTCTTGTTTTTGTGATTGCATTCTAGAATATGATCCCATCCCTCTTCTATAGTCTTTCTCATATCTTTTCATCTCACACCCCTTTAAATGCCATTACTAAAAAGGCAGGTGTGAAAAGAAAACAGCGCATATTGGAATAGCCATAAACCAAAATACTGTATTGTTTGGTTGGGAGGCATAAAAAGACATACAGAAGAGTCAAGAAACTTGTATAAAATTCACATGTTTTCTTTCCTGCAAAAAGAAAGGGATATGTTTCCTTTGCATGTGAATTCATTGAATATTATAATGGTAAAAACTTAAATCGAGCAAAACATAAGAAGAATCACTTTGTTTAAAATAATGCTAATTTGTCAATAATTTGTCAATAATTTTTTGTCTAATATTTATTTTCAGATTTTCTTTCTTAACATCCTGTGTAGGTGGAATACATGTGCGCACACCGGAAAAAAAAAAAAAAAAAAAATGCCCTGTTTGGTGTTTCCCTTGTATGTGAATTCATTCAATATTATAATGTTGAAAACTTAAATTGACGAGAGTACAAAATTATAATCACTTTATGTAAAATAATGGTAGTTCGACACTAATTCTTGGCCTAATATTTATTTTCAGATGGTCTTTCTTAGCATCCGCACACACAAAAACAAATAAACAAAAAATAAATAAATATTGGTAAAAAATTCACACCCCACATGACTTGTACTGTCACCATTCACGGAGATACCACTAGATTACAACATTAGGTCATGTTTGGTATGCATTTTTGTTTTTGCGTTTTTGTTTTAACCTGTAACAAAACAAGTGTTTTGTTGTAAAGTGTTTTGAATAGTAATTAAAGCAAAAAAATGAAAACATATTTGGTAAAAAAATATTACAAGTTTGAAAAATATAATGCTTAGCTTAAAAATGTTATTTTAAAATTTTTAAAATTTTTTTTTTTTTTGGTCGTTTATTGATATAGTACTTGTTGCTACAGTGCTAAAACATGTAAAAACACTAAATTAGTGTTTCGGTTTTTGGCCATTATTCACGAAATGTTTTGGTACTGTGCAAAACAAAATAAAACATTTTTTACCAAACGTGTTTTCTTCAATATTCACTGCTACAATACCTCACAAAAACAAAAGGCATACCAAATCAGGGCCTTAGTTAGTGATAGAGATTACTACAATTTTTTTTGGCCAAAACTCAAATTTAATATTTAAAATATTGTAAGTAGCTCAGCAGACCCATACCATTCAAAGAAAGATCATGAATTCAAACCTCGCGCATTTGAAATTAGAATAACTCGATGCCCTCAAACGCAACCTAAGTGTTTTAGGTATCGCATCGCCAAACACACATATATATAGAGAGAGAGAGAGAGACAAACACTTCCGGATAAAATGATAGTCGAGAAGAAAGGTCAAGAAAAAATGATTGATTCAGCTTGGCTTATAGCGTCCAAGCATGAATAATAAATTATTACCATGCATCACATGTTAATCTAACTTCTTAGTCAAATGAATCACAACTGCTAAAGTGCTAAAGAAATAATGTACAAATGTGAGCGATCATATTTTAAATTTGTCTATATATATATAAACAATAGTACAAGACTGTGTGGTTATAGGTGACAGCAAAGAAAATGACTCACCAAGTCATTGCTGATGTTTGTAATTGTATCTTGGAAGAAGTTTTCTAATATAAGAGGTTAAATTGTCTCAAAGTCCAAGTCAATTAATTGTAAAAAAATGTATTAAGAACAACAAAATACCATGTGCTTAAACGTGACCACAAAGAAAATGAGATAATTCAGGGTGTCATTGGTGGTCTTTGTAGTTGTATCTTAGACGCAAGCTTTCTAATATAAGAGGTTAAATAATCACAAAGTCAAGAAAATTGTAATTAACTTGAATATAACATATTTACCTTATAACATGTTAGTCAACCTAACGCTCGGATGTAAAGTATTTTTTAAACAATATTTTTGTATATTTTAGCGTTTGGTTGTTGTAAAATATTTACAAAGAAAAAAATATTAAAACTTAACAAAAATAACATGCTCATCAATTTTAGACAAGTTATTTTACACGTCCCATCAGATACCATCAGATAGGACTTGATCCAAACCTTTGCCAAACACAAGAAAATATTATAATAATAATAATAATAATAAAATATTTGACCTAAAAGAGAAATATTTTTTGAAGAAGATATTTTTCGTCGAAACAAACAGAGCCTAAACCAAAATTTGCAAATTCTAACCAGGTATTGCTTGAACACTATAAAGAGGTTAAATAATCTCAAAGTCAAGAAAATTGGAATCAAACTTGAATATAATAAGCTTAATTTAATCCCTACATCACATAGGTAACATATAAATACCTTAGAACATGTTAAACAAAACAAAAATCTTTTTCAGTCACCTCTTTTCTTGGACAATCCATATATGATTCTTAGATAATAAGAAATTACATATTTACATACAATGGAAAATTAAATAAGTAACAAAACCAGTTCATTAAGGTGAATTATAAACTAAAACCGATCGTACCATCTGCTTATATTACCAACGTTCAAAAACCACACATCGAAGCAGTTTCTGAATCGGACCTGCCATCTTTGCGATGCAAGCTTTCCTAGATATCAGTAATCGCGCACCTCCTTGTTGCAGATGGGGCAGGTCTGTATAAGAGAGAGAGATCATCATGTATACTATCAACTGGAATAACATTTCTAACAAAATGATTACATTTTTAATGAAGAGAGGATAATTTTCCATATATTTGAATCATGAAAAACATCAGCCTTGCAAGAAACTAACAATTTGACCAACTTATACCAGACGAAGATAACACATGCAATTGAGGTGGCAAACTTGTCAGAGACATCATGAACAAGCTTTATGAATATTTCTTAGTCTGAAAAAAAATATAAATAATTTGAGTTTTTGGCTGGTACAAATTTGTGAAATGCGAACTATAAATGCAAGTTTTCTTCACCGATTCTGATTGTGTTTCCCATTTTTAAAAAATGCAAACGTATAATTTTTTTCTTTTTTAGTTTTCCAAGTATATGTGACTCAAATGAGTTCCGTTACATTAATAAAATTGTCATATAAACTATCATAATCACAGATTAATAAGTGATATACACTTTCGTTTGGTCAAACTTATTACGGGTTTCACAACTAATCAAAATTTGGTTATAAACTAATCCTCAGAAAGCAAAGCTTTTTACATAATTTACTGATAGGACCTACAGCCTAGCATGTGCCAAGCTTCAAGGTTAATGAACCATGGGCCATCAATCTTCATACTCATTTGCCGCATCTAAAAAGGCAGAAATGTTCAATTTCAAGGTTTTGGACAACGGTGTTGGCATCAATCTTGCTTCTGGCTAACAATGAAAAGGACCTACAAAAGTTTTGCTTCTGTTATTTTTAGGGGTCCCCTCTAGTTGCGCTGTTTTTCTCTCCCCACAAACAAAAATGGGGAGATTAATATTTTGCACAAATTCTGGAATGATGGAAGTAATGGCACAAACTGTAAAATAGTGTCCTTTTTTATTTTACAAACTAATCATTAATACATTTTCTGGACTGAATCTCATTAATATTTTTGAACAAATATCAGAAAGTTAGATGAATAATGTGTATATAACTATCTTATAATATTTGAAATTCTTGCAATCAACTACTGTCCATCCACTAGCTGTTACAAAATACCCCCATTAGTGCAAAACACGACTGGTTCTAGATATTTAGTACAAAATTAACCCTTTCATGTTCCAAAAATGCCTCTTCACTATTAAGTGCACCCCTTAAATCTCTCTCGCTCTCTCGGCCCCCACGACACAAAAGTTTGTAGTAGAACCCGCACAACTCATTCAACTCCCAATCCTCCTATGAAAGAGGATTTCCACACCACCCCACCCTCTGCAAACCTCTATCATTTTGCTATATAGCCTAACTGATTAATTAAGCCAAAGATTTGTTATCTGAGGTTCCAATTGATAAATAAAATATTCAGATTGTAATTTCCTTTCTATTCATGTTTATCAGCTATGGAACATAAAGAATAAAATTTCATAAAGAAACCTAGTAAGCAAATCCCAAAAAGAAAAGAAAAAAAAATACTAGTATTACAAGAACACACATATATGGTATATAATATGTATAGGTACAGAAGATAGGATGTGAGATCCCCAATTTTGGCATCTTGTGCCTCCAACGATGACTCAAGCAATGCATGAGGATCTGCTTAAGGAAGGTACCTTGGAGGAAGTCAAGGATGCTATATCGTACCTTTCAAGGCGCCTGCGGGAAAGATAGAGCGGTTGGATCTGGCTTATTAGTAGGTTCAGGGGGCGAAGGGGAGACCTCTCAAAGATTCGGATAACAACTCTACCTAGAAGAATAGGAGCCAGAATGTCTCCCGAACAGTCCAGAGGGACTACATCTTATCTTGCATCTAACGTGGAAGAAATCCTATCACAAAAGAATCTCACGCTCGGCGTCTGTCCATTCCAGTGGTTCACGACTCAGGCTAGTCAGCCTATTTTCGATAGTCAAAAGGCCTGTTCAATCTATCTGATGTAGGAAGGAGAGTTCATCTCTTCAATTGATTCCCTTTAAAGAAAGGAATAGATCCTCCTTTCCTAAAGACTGAGACAGGGACATGTGTCACCACAACAGGTGAAAACCCACTGCTGGTATCTAATCTACTTCGTATCTTTTACCTGTAGTTTCCCACTGTAGTGGAGTCAAAGGATAAGGACTCAGTTCGAAGTTAAAAGACTCGCTCACTCTCATAGTTCATCAGAATATTACAGAAGGAAAAAGGTTTGAAAGGACAGGAGGGGAGAGAATGAGAGCCAGAAAAGGAAAGGATCAGACTGGGCCTTTATGACCCCTTATGTCAGGGCACAGTGCTCTATTTATAGTGATAGAGTCATCCACGTGACACCAACTGGGCCACATATCATATCAACATTCCTTTTTTGTATCCGAGCACAGATGTCCCAGTCCCTTAGGTTTTGGTGTTGCGGGGGTTCTCTATTTTCACCTTCATCCCACTCCGATGAACCTCTCATTCAATCCTACCACGCCACTTTTTATCCTTTTTCCCGTGCCAGACTATGACAGTGTGCTCGCGACACTTCACCATAGTAGCCTGGGATAGTGTCATGGCATGCAATGACATATCCCAGGCTATGTCATTGCGTGCCATGACACTATCCCTCCTATCCTGCGCCGTTTATTTGGGATGCACCTTGGTTCGCATCCTTGAACACCGTCATGGAGAACTATTCTTAGTGTTTTCGCGGTTTTTGTTGTAATTGGCAATTGCCTGGGTGGGACTGTGGCGTTAGTTTACTTCTCCTGTAATAATGTTGATAACAAATTATGTATTTGTTTTACCACCAAATGTCTCCCACACCATGATTGCCTACCGCAAAAGATATTTCTTTTACATTAACTGGCTTTTCACAACCCGAGCTATGCCAGAAACATATTGCCCTTAACCACACACATCTTTTTCCACCGCGAAAGTACTTGCATGCGATATAGCTCGGGACAACATGCTTGGACATAACAGCATTTCCTAGGTATGTTCCGCAAGAGGTGGCCCCACACAGACCTCATGCGACACATGCCCCCATGTCCCATGTACCTTGCTAGGATGCATGCGTGGAGATGCCCGCGCACTGGTGACACGCGCATATGAGGCATGCCCTCGCACCCTTCTCTGTGTGTATATGGCCATTTTATTTGTTTCAATTCCATAAAAAGATTGAGATGGTTATTGGAATGAGAAAATTTAGCTAACTTGTTCACCCATTATGAGTCTTAATTTGAACTCATTACACCCACCAATGCCAACAAAACTCATCTGGGCATCGATGTCTCTTTCGAAATCCTCAAGTCCTCATGATCTCTGCAACCATGGCAGGTACAGTAGATGTGACCCCCCCAACCCTGCCATCCTTGAAGGCTTATGGTAGCTGTCCACTCTTTGGTTTTTACTTTGGGAGGAGGCAGTGGAGAGAAGATAACCTCGACAAGGTACGTCTATAGGGGTTCTAGCTTGTGATCAGTCCATGTGGGTTTGAAGGTGGGCTACAAAAGTGACCATTTCAAGCATAAGATTCCTACCCCACCTCCTAAAAAAAAGCCCCGCACTAAGGCCTAAAGCCTTGAACATACTTTAATGAGTCGAAACATGAGAACCAACACAGTTCATAAGCACAGAAATTCATAGCTACTAGCAACAACTCCAAGAAAAGATTGTCAAGGGATGTATAAATTACCTTCCTGATCTTCAACCAAGGTGTAATACATTTTGAATGATATTTGTGTGCACAAGGCAAGCTGATCAAAAGTTTCCCTCTTTCAAAATTCTTGCAACAGATCACACACCTACATGCAGACACATAAGAAGCAATAATCAAAAAAGGATCAAGAATTCTACTATCCCACAACTAAGTCTTATTATTTTGGGAACTTTGCAGTCATACACTTTTTTAGGTTATGCATGAACAAATATATATACCACAACGAAAAAAAACAACAATAATACAGAGAAGATCCCCCTAAAATAAGGTATAACAACTTTGGCTCTTGAAGCATGGGTGTCCATTTATCATAAAGAGGGAGAACCCTATTCATGTGCTATTAAATTGTAAGCTATAGCATCAGATTATTTAAGCTAATCATGTTCTATTGTTCAGGTGTTGAGCTCTTCAAGCATGGGTGTACATTTATCATAAAAAGAGAGAAAACAAGTCACGCGATATTAAATTGTAAGCTATAGCATCAAATTATTTAGGGTAAACACATTTTAATATTCAGTAGTTTATCTGAAGACTTTATTTAGTTCACTCAAGGAGTGGCTTAATAAAAGTTCATCCTTGTGTCAAGTTATCCATGCAGCTAAGTCGAGTAAATTTCACCCAGTTCAGATTGATTGAATAAACTTTGGAACAAAATGTTCGCCTAATTGATCTAATCTATTATGCATTAATAATAAATTATATATTCTTTAGCCATGTAAATCAAGCACAACTATTTTGAGACGTCATTTAAGAGAACCATCTCTAAGAAGCCTGAATCATTCTAAAACTATGGAGTATGTGCCTTCATAGAAATTTATACTTTGTTATGATTTACATCAAGATAATTTGAATTCAAGTACAAGTAAACAGTCCTATGTTGCCCGACTGCCTGCTATTATTGAGATATCAAAACATGAACAATGGCTTGACCGGGAAAGTACTCAAAATTTTGGAAGCAGTTCCAATTAAGAATCTTGTACAGAGAATAATGTGTGTGTGTGTGTGTGTGTGTGTGTGTGTGTGAGAGAGAGAGAGAGAGCATGTAATTGTGTTCTTAGTTTACGTAGAGAGGGGCACAGAGAGAGAGAGAGCATGTAATGGTGTTCTTAGTTTACGTAGAGAGGGGACGTGCTTCCAATGTCCCTTACCTCACACATTGTCTTTACCCAGTTAAAAGGATTCGTAGGTAGGTCTCTGTATGCGTGTGTCTTTGTAGATTTTCCTTAAAGCATTTACCTCTTGATTGAAAGATATTTTCACCTGTGGTGTGCATCAAAGTTGTAAAGGAAAACAAACTTTCGTGTTTTTTTTTTCTTTTTTTTTTCAGTAAATAAATCAAACTTACAGTGTTGATGGCAACAAAATTAGGATCTCCTTTTCACATTTTACACTAGTATAATGGCATACCATTGATTGTTTTATTCGAATTGAAGACCAGAAATATCAACCCTAACCAGAGTTCTCTGTTATTGGTATAGTCTATAGAATATAGATGACCCTATTGATGTGGCTTAGGTTATCTCCACCTATAAACATATAATTTATTACTATAATTTATTCAAAGAAACAAACTTGCAATTTCATGTGTGCTTGTGGTTGTGCATTCGCAGGTTTGTTTTACAACTCTCTCTCTCTCTCTAAATATTAGGGGTGGCAAAATGGGTCATGACCCACCAACCCGCCCATATCCGCCCACTTTAAAATGGATATGGGTGAATCATTTTAAAATATGGGTCAAATGGACGACCCATATCCAACTCATTTTTGTAGAGGATTAAACGGGTTGAATATGGGTCACCCATTTTGAACCATATTTCACCTATTATATAAGAAACTCAGTTTCACATCCTCTATTTGACTCAATTTCACCTCTTCTTCCTCTCTAAAATTCTCTCACAAGATCCCAAATTCTCTCTCTCTCTCTCCCACTCTCTCTCTAAAATTCTCTCGCATCCTCTTTCTCTCTCTAAAATTCTATGGAGTACTATAGTATTACTCTGCTACATCCACAACACATTGTATCGTGTATTATATCTGCTCTGCTTTCCTACCTAAGGGATTCTATGGGAAGGCGTGTTAGAGTTGCATCAATATTCTTTTTTGGTTTATCTATTGCACCCAAAAAAAATAATAAATAAAATCTAAAATAAAATAAAATAACATTTACCTTCATGCATGTCCAATCATAAAATAAAATAATATAAATTTAATGAATTTCCAAAATAAATTGGAGGGTTTACAATTATCCATACATATTTTTACAAGCTTTTATCCATATAAAATCAAGAACTATAATAATGAGATTATCCAAAATAATAACATTTTTTTTTTCTCTAAAATGGGTTGGCGGGTCATGACGGGTTGACCCAACCCATATTTGACCCGTTACAAGTGGGTTGAATATGGGTCACAATCCATATTTGACCCACTCATATTAGACCCTGCCCAAACCCGACCCAACCTGCCCGTTTGCCACCCCTACTAAATATATATATGGAAAAAAACTTACTCTTCATTCATCTTTTTCTTAGAGAACAATCTTGTTTTATATTTGAAAGATGTCAATCTGGAGATGAGCTCTTGTGACAGTCCTTTACTCTCGGCACCAACAGAATCCCCTAAAGATAACATTTGCTATCACAAGAAAACAGCCAGAAAATTACATTGATATAGATGAAAATTCTTATAACTCAGCTCCATAAAATCCACCCAGATGAGTGATCAAAGATCTTTCAGAGTGCAAAACATATAGTTGTGAAAAGTATAATAGAATTAATAGTGTTTGGAGGCTATAAATTATTATAATCATTAGCAACCACAATATAGTTCTGTAAAGTATAATAGAACTAAAAACAACGTTGCCTAAAAAAGAAAAAAATGTCAATTAAATTCACTTCTTGAAATCCTAAAGCTAGCTCAATCACCCAGTATTTTAAATGATGAGCCTAAAGGATCATTTACCTGACAAATTATAGAAACAAATTTTTTTTATTTTTGGTATATATGATTATAGAAAAATATCACTCAAAACATATTTTCTAATTAATTCATTCACAAACTTGAATGCAATAAATAGCAGAAATTGAGAATGAGTAAAAATGTCAAAGGTTGTGTGCACTGCCACCTGATTTACGACGTATGAGTTTCCAACTTGAAATTCAAACAGAATACGCAAAAATTTGTAGCCAACATAAGTAAAAATACCTCATAAGTCATTTGATCTGGATCTATATCATCTTGCTGCACATCTGGACTCGCAGACTGCATTAAGCATAGAAACCTAGTGTCATAGATTGATAAACCTCAGGACACAAGAAAAGAAAAGTTTTAAAATTAAAGAGAGACCCTAACAGTAATTCCTCTAGAACTGACAGGAGTTCCTCCAGAATTTTCTCCTCTATTCCCTGCAGAAGATGTAAAAATGGGGTTATTTTCAATATGAGCAATTAGACAACATCCATTTAGTTATTCTTGTAATTGATTTGTCTGAACTCTGGAAAAAATCCAAAAGCCTACACTTAAACATCGCTGTAGGAAGTTATAGAATTGGATTGCATAGTAAATTTGAGTGAAGGCGGGGATTGAATTTGACACGATATATGCATACATGCACTCCTCTACGTATGTATGTAATTACGCATCTTTGTGTAGGTTGGCATGTGTTTGAGTTTGTTAACCAGAAGAAAATTCCAATGGGTTAACAAAAGCCCAACGTATCTTCCCTAGTTAAACATCCCCATCCATGTTTCTGTCAACTTCCTAAAATATGTGTAATATGGCTTGAACTAAATACTGCAGTAGATATTTTGCTTTGTTATTTGCAAACATGTATTATCTCTAGAAAGGAATAGGAACTGCTCTTCCCTGGATACCATCCATGACCAAATTAGTGCCACTTTCCATTACTGTTCGTGATGCTATTGCTGAAAGCTGCATAACAGTATCCCTAAATGCTCCAAGAAGAGAGAAGCCCCAACTATTCTAACTTCACTAGTTTACTTCCTTTTCCAATAATTGCTTTGGAACCAACAAAATAGAGCTTCAGACTCCCTCCAGAAAATGAACTCGTCTTACGAAATCAAAATCTTCCTGGATCTTTTGACGGGTCCTGAGAAACACCTTTCTGTAGATTTTAATTGCAGTAAATCTGAATAGATTCTGGTTGACTTTTCAACAGCTCTAACTGGCTTTGACATATGTTTGTCGTAAATCAACCAACTCCTTATGTTACAAATATTACAAGATTGAATATGTTTAGCATGTAGAACTTAGTGTTGGCAAAATTTTAACAAAAGGAGCCTGTAATTTATAATTTTAATTATTTTATTTTCAAAGGTTGGTTTATTTAGTTAGGATTAGAACTGACCTTGGATCCATGGACACCGAAGATAACGTATTTGAAGATTAAAAGGGCAGAAAGTAAATTCACTTCTTTAATCACTTATTCACTTGTTAGAGTTCATAATCACGAGTTCTTATCATTAGTACATTACTCATATTAGGGCACAATGCATATATGTCTTGACTTATTATAATTATTTTTTTAAGTGCATTTAATTGTTTTTAGATTGAAATTTTGAACAGAAAAATAAATTGAAAAACAGTGAGCTTCAAGTGAAGATTTGGTTGGTTGATCAAACCTCGAGAGCATATGCTCGAAGGCCATTGGAAGTTCACCCGATCAAAGTTGGTGTCCATCAATTGATCAGGGAAGAATTGTTTTGAAAACTCTCTAAAATCAAAATTTTAGTTGTCTTTATTTTTCTATTTCAAATAAAAAACTTCTATAGTGATATAAATATAGGGTTAAAGTCAGTCTAGGGTATCTCTTTACACATTATTGAGAGCATACAAAGAGATCATATTCATACTCTTTATAGAGAGCATTTTTCTCCTTCCATCATCAATATCTTGCATTAGATGGTGATTTATTATTCAAGTGTTCATAATCAACTTGTGAAGCCTACAATGACATCAACACCAAATTACACAAACAAAAAAGACAAACAAACAAACAAACAAACAAAAAAACAGAAAGCTTGGATGTGACTAGTAGATGAGATTAATCACCGGTTGAAGAGCGCAGGTGAGGTGTAAATTCATTGACTGGCAAACGATTTTTACGTGGAAAACCCAAATGGAGAAAAATCATGGGGCCAGTCCAGGAAGATAAAATCCATTATCAGAAAAAAGGTAATACAAGCCTAGGTTTCCATATTTTAAGTCCCGGAATCCCCCAGTCACTCCTTAACCCAACTCACTCTAGACGTTCTAACCCAAATCTTCAGCCTGCAATTACTTAAAAGAAAACCTCTAATAGTAAACACTGCCTTTTTGCTTGTTGTCAACTTTAGTTCAATTTTAGTGATTTGGAATGCAATAAAACACACCAACGCTCAATAGCAAAACCAAATAAGAGCACAAACAAAGTAAAGTTGGAGAGCAGAGAAATGACACCATGGGTTTTTTTACGATAAAAACCTCAACGAGAAAAAAATCACATAAACTTTCTCAGGCAAATCAATCCACTATTATTGGAGAAAGAGTGCAATAAGTTCCAGTGCCATCAGAACTACTCTCCATGAGTCACCAATTCCAGTGCCTTAAAAATCACTTGTTATTGCTTTATTACCAATAACAATGCCTTTGGAATCACCAAAAACACTGATCCATTCCAATGCAATCACCTCATGGTGATCTGCTTCATGTAGTGATCAATTGCCTTTTCCTTTCGAATGTATGTGAGAAGTATCTGATAAATATGTTGCACGGGTAGCCTTTTATATACTCAGTAGTATAGCTTGGATTAACACGATCAGGGACGACCTACACCTACCAGTACTAGCACTCTAGTGAAGAAGTGTGATTTGATCGATAAATCTCAACCAATTTTTCACTGAAAAAGCTCTCGAATTTCCAATAATTTCTCTCATACCTGAAACAAGCTTTAGCTGAGTTTTTATACACAGAATTCTCTTCAAAGTTGAAAAAGTCGTCCAAAATATGTTGAAGACATCTATAAGTGTTTGGATAAGATTAAAACATAATCCTAGTTGAAGTAGGGTAGGTTTAACCAGTATTATAAAACCTTCGCCAGTATTAAAGCTTACTGGTCTTTAAACAAATTCAGCCAGAAGCATGTTCTTTTGGTACAAACAATGGTTCAACCAGTACAACAGCTTTTTAGACCAAATGGAGTTCCACCAGAACCAAGTTTTATCGGTATAACAATTTGGACTACCTGTAGAATAACTCTCTGGAGCTTCGTCAAACTTATCCAGTAGCCTCTACAACTGGTCTTTTGTCTTCCGCTCTCTACAGCTACTGCAAAAATATTCAACTGGTGCAACCTTACATTGTTTGAATACTTCGAACAAATTTCTCTTCAACTTTCATCCTTTTAAGTGCACTCACCATACATTCACATACCTGACGTAACGTGTGTGTTCATATCAAGCTTTCCAAGCTTGACGTCTTTGAAGATCAATCCGTACTTTGATTCCAAAAATACTCAAGACAAAACTTAAAGAAATTATAACTTGATAGAATGGTTTTGAACACGAAATATGCCAAAACAAAATTATATTCCTAGCAAGATATCTTCTGCAAAATCATTTTGCTACAAAAGGCCCAAAATGTTGTTAAGGAAACCTAATGGTGTGAAGACAACAATAACATCCAAAAACGTAAAAAGCCTTCACAGAGCCCCCATAAAATCAATGTCTATGTGAAAGAAAAGTTTTAGAGCCAATGATGCAATGAGCTATATCTGCTGAACAAATCCGAAACAATAAAGGCCTTTACAAAAACCCCATAAAATCAATATCAAAGTTTTAGAACCAATTGTTTGACTAGATTCAATAATGAATACTCAACAAACCCAAACAACCACCCAAAGTAGTTAGAATTTGCCCAAATGTTACAAATCTGGTAGCATATACATTGGCACAAAATTAATATCTAGATCTGATATGGCATGCTACTCATCCATAGAGGACTAGCCTATCACATGGACACATTCGGCGTTGGTCACCAACTGCTGAATGGGAGAACAAGGCTGCATGTGGTTTGGCAGTGGATTAGGGGGAAAAAATAGTAACTGTGCAGTATTTGATTTTCTCTTGAATGTCCAGCTCCTATGACATAAATAAGAAGTTAAGGACATGGTTTCAAAAGATGGTTATGGAAAAGCACTAAGGTTTCACATTCCAGACAACTTTTAAACCATTATCCAAATCACCAAGGAGTTGTGTTGTCATTTTGGAATTAGCTAGGGACATTGTGGAAATAGAATAAGGAGTTAGAAGTGGGGAGGAGAGGGCGGGTCTTGGCGCAATAGTAAGGTTGCTCCATTGTGACTTGCAGGTCTTGGTTTCGAAATAAGAAAATAGTCTTACCTCCCCATAGTCTTTCCTCATGGGGAGGTAAGACTATGTACATCTGATCTTCGCCAGACCCTACAATGGCGGAGGCCTCGTACACTGGGCTAGCCCCTTAAGTGGGGAGGAGATTGGCCTATATATAGCTCTGCCCCTACAAGGGAAAAGGAACTACATAGACAACCCAATTTTCTGGAAATAGGGAAGGCCATACAAGATGTAGGTCAGATAAACCAAAGAAAAGACAGGTCACATAGACAATCAAAATAAATGTTTTTAAATTTTTGAAAAAAAATTTCCCCATCTGTACTTGACGCGAAATAAGTATTACTTTTTAATTACATTGTCTTCGTCGACAGTCAAGGGCTTAGGGATGTGCATAATATATTTGTCATATTGGACAACCACCTAGGTGTTTAGGTGATTTACATGTCCATTGCCTTGGCTCGCAAAGCATGCCGAAATTTTCAGAACATGTGTGAAAGGCTGTTACTGTACTTTCAGAAAATATGAGCATAGCACAGCCACTAGACTTATTAAGAAGGGAGGGGGGAATGAAGCAACCGCATGAAATTCGTATGAAAGGTTTCTTTTACCTGATGCACCATCAGATATGAATAAACCATCAAAGTCATCCCCCAATTCTTGCAAGAGTCTAGCTAAAGCTTCATCCAAAGCTAATTGTGACTCGACACCGCCACCACTTCCCCTCTGCGAAGATCCACCCTCTTGCCCTGAGAGCTGATTCCCATCATGGCTTTGGCCCTCATCAGATGTCCTACCCCTTTTCCTGCCACTTTCTTGCAGTGACTGATAAACACTTTCCTGCAATATAACCGGAAACCTATTAGAATAATCCTTCACATTGTAAAGGATCGAGAGCAAGTCTGTCAAAGAAAAAAGAATTAAGATGCATGTTCCTTCTTTGCCGATTAGGGACAGATACTAAACCCGGCACCTATACTACCTGCTGTTGAAGAAGCTCTTCATAATTAAGATCGCTGTGTTCAGGAAAAAGTTCTTTGAAATTGTCGGCTGAGAATGCGACACCCAAATATTGGCTATCAACCTCTCTGTCCCCCGTCATGACTGTTTCAGGCAGAATAGGAGGAGAAACCTCTCTTTCTCTATATTATGATAACCACTTCTTCACTGCTCCTTAAAATGTAATGGATCAGTTGATCAGAAAACAATAAGTTACAAAAGCATACAGAAATTTCTATGAATTCAAATTTTTTGAATCAAGTAAAAGACCAGAAAATATCAATATTAATGCATTCTTGAAGAATTAGGTTCTGATCATTTCCACCCTCATGTATTGACCGGTTTGCAAAGGGAAATGGCTATGCTGCGACCATTATCTTTCTCACTTACTGACACAGAAATTTTCGAAAATCACAAATTTTTATACCCATGAAGAGATCATAATGGATTATACAAGAAGATATTATAAGAAATATTATCTGATATATAAAAAATCTACTTAACACATAAATTTTCTGAATTCAGAATTATTATTTTTCTTTAAATTGATTTATTCCTGGTCATAGAACTTCATCAAGATAAATGATGTTGTCACATGTAGAGACGACTTGGAAACAATCCTTATAGGTAAAGACGATTTGCTACTTATCCGACTAAGATATACACTAAAGTAAACAGAAATTCAATATCCCCGACTGCATGAAGACTTGCAATTTATGAAAGAGAAACTCATAAAAGAAGTCAATTAGAGAAACCCATTACTGAACTTTGAGCATTAAAAAACGAGAACTTTTGAAGAATAACGTGACGATTTTCAATTGTTTCTTGCTCTACAAATAATTGAATAGAGCTAGTGATATTGAAGAAAAAAATAACCTAATGAAAAATTTAGAATTGGGTCTTTCACCTTCAGAATCATAATGAGGAAGCAGACCAGAAAATTTTCATCACAAGTCACTATTTAATGCATTTTGCCCTGACAATTAGGGTTTTTAGGGTCTTTGTTTATCATTGCACTGAAGTATACCAACAAAAGCTAGCAACTTCATAGTGATATTGACACAATAATAAACAAAAAAATATTGATGTACCCATGAAGGCCTAAAAACATTGATATAACTAGTGAACATTATAAATTAAGAAAAATATATAAAAATTGAGCTTTAACATGACTAAGTTCAGAAATCAGAAACCAGCCAACCCTACCAAATCACTATTAAATTCTATAATTTTTTTGGACAATTAGGGTCTTCTTTTTATAAAATTGACTGGGTCGAAAGTAGATGTGTTTTGGTACTTACCCTTGGTTACTTGGGATTTACATTATTGCAAACATGGAAAGGGTACTACAACTGATTCCCTCCACTAAACAAAAACAAGAATTGTAAGAACCCTAGTGAACATTATAAATTAAGAAAAAAAAAATTATAAATTGAACTTTAACATGACTAAGTTCAGAAATCAGAAACCAACCAACACTACCAAATCACTATTAAATTCTATAATTTTTTGGACAATTAGGGTCTTCTTTTTATAAAATTGACTGGGTCGAAAGTAGGTGTGTTAATCAAGGGTACTTTGCTCATTATAAGACAAAAATATTCAATATACCCATGAAAAAAAAATGAAAGATCTTCACAGATTATGAAGAAAACAAGTTGATAAAGAGATCAATCAGGATGGAAACATATAGATTATACTCTGCAAAAGAACTATTTCAAAATTCTAAGACAAAATCGAAATGGGTCTGAATTACAGAGCTAACAGAAATGAGAAGTACCTCTGAGTGAAGATGATGAGTTCTGTCTCTCTCTCTCTCTCTCGTCTTCCCTGTCAAATGAAAGCTACAATGGTAGTGTAGTGAGGAAAAAGTTGGAAGCCAGTCATTTTTTCATTCACTGCCAACGTAACAAAAATCTTTACTGCACTTGAATATAAGCGACAAAGACAGTGACTTTATTATGTTGAATTGTTGATAGTGTATAAAACAAATTTTTATTTATTATTATTATTTTTTGTAATGTAGCTAGTGGGTGAAAATTTTGGCATAATTCGGGAGAGTAGTGATAGTGTAGATCGGTTATTTAGGTTAAATACAAATATGCAGAAGATTTTACTCTCTTATTTATTATATAAATAATTAGTTAAACATAATAGGTGCATTAATTCAATGCTATTGCTTGGTGCAAAAATTATTTTTTAACTTGGAATGATACATTATTGGAGGTGGATACTTTGTATTTCGGTAAAGGGAGTCCTCACATGGCAGCACACCACTATTTTGGTTTTTAGGGTTTAGCCAATTGCACAAGACTCTCACTATGGAGGACAATTGAGTTATAGATAATACTTGTACAACAGGTGTGAGAGCAAGAGTGTAAAATTTAGTTAGAGCGGTAGCACTCTCAAAGTGTTTGTACACTTGTCTACTATTATGTATATATAAAGTATTTATAATATTTGTGTGTATGCTAAAGACTATTATTTAAATGTGAAATAATAAAAATGTAATTTCATAAACAATAAATAAATAAGTTTGAGTTACAACTAACCGTATTTCTTAAGATACATAATGTTATTAATAATTAAAATACAAAAGTTATATAATATTTATTTTTTATTTTTAAAGAAATGCGACTTGAATTGATTATTTTAAAGATTATAAAATAATAAACATCTTAACTAAATAAAATTAAAAAAGTATCTAAATAATTTATTTACAAATATTCATGTGTCTACAATCTACCAAAAATAAAAATTGTCTATACATTGTACATACACATTTAATATTTTAAAACTTAAATAACAAAGCAAGAATGATCAATATAAAGCAAACGACAATAAAAATAAATAAATAAATAAATAAATATTCTTTTTAATATTGTAAGTTTATTCTTAATTCTACACATTTTTAACCGTTTTTATTCAATATTAGGTACATTTTGGTAATTTTAATCAATAATAAATGTCACATGTAATTGTTCATAATTCAATGAATAAGAAATTATTGTGAATTCAAGGATTTGCAAATTGAATTCGAGGATTAGCAAAATTGAATTCGCGAATTATGTTAGAATTCACTCTCAGAATGCCAATTCGTGCGCGAAGTGTGAGATTGACACTCCATTAGAAGGATTGTATGACTTAGGTTTTACTTTAAGTCACATAAAGTGGAAACGGAAGCGAATTCGAGAGCGAGGGCATAAAAACGATAAAATTAAGTCACAAATGATGGAAATAAGAACAAGAGCGCGCATGAAGCATAAAAATGACACCGATTGAAAAGAATTATGTGACTTAGACTTTACCTCTGTATATAAACTCTTCTCGTGACTTCTAAATTATATAATGAAATAACTTTACAATATCTAATAATCTAATGCTACGTTTGATGTGCAAGAATGGAATGGAATGTAAGTAAGAATGGAATGAGAATTGGAATGGAATGGTCATTCTCATTCTATTGTTTGGTTGTAAATATGAAATGTATAAGAATAGAATGATAATAACCATTCTAGTGTTTGGTTGGACCAATTTAAAATTTAGAATGGAATAAATTTCTAATTGAGTTCTCCAAAATATCCCTCTTAGTAGCAAATAAATTAAATTAAATTAACAAAATGATATTCTTTAATAATTTTTTAAAAATAAATGGTGGCAGTGGCGGTGGTGGATGGTGAAAAGTGGTAGTAGTGTAAGTGGTGGTGTTAGAAGGCGGCGGTGGTGGCAATGGTGGAAATCGATGGCAGCAGTGGTGGTGAAAGGTGGCAGTGGTGTTGGTGAAAGGCGGTGGCAGTAGTGTAGTAGTTGCAGTGGAAGGAGATAGTGGTGTGACTATGGTGGTGGTAGAAGGTAGTGGAAGTGGCGTTGGTGGAAGGTGGTGGTGGTGGAAGGCAGTGGCAGTGATGGTAGTGATGGCGGCGGCGGTGGTGGTGAAAGGTGGTGGAGGTGGTGGAAGGTGATGATGGTGGTGGTGATGGAAGGTGATAGAAGGCGATGACGGTGGCGTTGGTGGTTGTGGAAGGCGGCGGTGATGGTGAAAGATGGTGGTGGCGGTGGTGGTGTAGCGCTGTGCGGTGGCGGCGGTGGTGGTAGTGAAAGGCGGTAGCAGTGGTGGTAGTGGCAGTGGTGAAAGGCAATGGCGGCGGTGGTGGTGGAAGGTAGTGAAAGGCAATGGCAATGGTGGTTAAAGGCGGTGGCGATAGCGGTGGTAAAAGGCGGCGGTGGTAGTTGCGGCAAACAGTGGCGGTAACGGTGGTGAAAGGCGATGGCAGTGGTGGTGGTGGAAAGTGGTGGACGATAATGAAAGTCGGTGGTAGTAGAAGGCAGTGGTAGTGGTGGTGATGGTGAAAGGCGGAGATGATTGTGGTGGAAAGTAATGGTGGTTTTTTGGATTTGGAATATGAGAGTATTTTGATATGTCGATTTTTTCAAATAAATTACTTGAGAATGGAATGATCATTCCATAGGTTTAGTTATGGAATGGATTTTCATTCCAATGGGATGGTCATTCCCACTTTAAGTTGCATACTAAACAAATGAATGGTTAGAATAGGCATTCCATTTCATTCCATTCCTGCACACCAAACATAGCATAAGGGTTGAAATTGTGTCCTTATACTCGAACTGCACCTAACATTTCTCTAGCATAAAATGCATCTTTCTATAAATGTTTTATGGTTTTCAAAAAGTTTCAATTATGTTTTCAAAAAGTTTCAATTTGATTATATATATATATATATATATATATATATATATATAAGGAGATATGTATTACATCATGTCTCTTAAAAAAAAAATAATAATGAAAATGGACTAAGAAAAGTATGAGTTCTATTTATTAACCACTTAACGAAGACAGTTTTTCAATTTGCAGAAAGTTGAATAAATTATTTAATAAAATTTTCAAGAAAATTAAAGTATGTGATAAATTTTTTTCCTTTGGAAAATGAAAAGGACTTGGAAATTAATTTTTATTCACAAGATTGCTATTGAGAAATTATTATAAATTCACTTTTCAATCAAAATTAATTTATAATACATTAATCGTAATACGAGTACAATCTGGTACATTCACTTTTCATAGTGAAACTGAACCATCAAGTATCATTGGAATCGACTACTAATTTAATCAAATATCGTATAACAGTATAATATTTAATTGATTGGTGGGATGGTCACGGGTTGACAATATTAATTTGATGAATGTCACATCATCATCACTCATAATTGCGCTTTACAACGTGGTGTTTGGTTGTGCAGTGACACGGACCATTTATTTCATAACTCAGTGTCTGTATGGAAAGATATGGACTTAATTTACCCAAAGACAAAAGGGATAAGGACGTCAGTATGATTGGAGCATTTTTAATGGACTCTTTACTATCAACCCACGTCAGCGTTTTAGCCATTGCATGTATTTTTGTTTTCAAAAATATTAATATTTTTACCATTCAAAGAAAAAATAATAATAATAATAATAATAATATTTTAATATTTTTTAAAATTTTTAATAAATTATTTTTTTCTATTTGTTAAGAAAAAAAAATTATTTGGTTAGCTAATATAATCGTTAAGGCATTATTTGGGTGGGTCAACAGTACCTAAAACGGTTATAATGTTAATAAGAATATTAAAATTTTTTCAAAAGGAAAAAAATTAACTTTTTTTTCAATTTTTTAATACTTTTTTTTTGTCTAAACAAGCATTTAAGACACTGTTCGTGTCAGCCAAATAGTGACTTAACGGTTCTTTAGTTCAAATATCTTGAGGGGAAAGAAGGCAAAAAAAAAAAAAAAAAAGGCCAAAAAATGCCCAAAAAAAATGATTTTTGAAATTTTTTTCACTGCCAAACACTAAGAGTGCACAAAAAAACTGTGGAATCGTGAGAACCGAATCGAACCGTGGGCTTCAGTTCCGGTTCTTAATTTCGGAACCGTAGGTGTACGGTTCTTGTTCCAGTTCTGGTTCTAGACCGTGAGAACTGGTAAGAACCGGAACCGTATATATATATATATATATATATATATATATATATATATATATATATATATATTATATTTAATTATTTGTTGTCTTAGTAACTAGACAGTTCTAAACTAAACTATAGCCTTATGAGGCCTACAAGCAGCTACATGGTCCACAGACTCCACACTAATGACTAAACCACAAAACAAAACTCAAAAAGTGAAAATCTGAAAACTCATATAAACCTAAAGTCTCATCTCTGCATCTTAAGCTAACCTTTGCCTCCACAGTCCCCTCATCACCTAGTCCCCATCTCAAGTTAACCCTTTCTTCTTCAATCCCAATCCCAATCCTCAATTCACAAGTTGAATCTTCTCTATCCCTAACTAATTCACTATCATTCTCTGGAATTCCCACATGGGTTTCCTCCAAAACCTCCAGGTGGTCGAGATTAGGCTCCGGCGAGGGCGTGACCGAAGCTATTCCGACGATTCCCACGCTGAGCTAACCCTCGCCTCCCCAGTTGCCAAATCTCAAGCTTCCTCGAATCCTTATCGCCCTCGGCAGTCGGCGCCTCACCTCCTCTCATCTTCAGAACCTCTACACTCAGTCGATTCAGATTTCATCCTCACTACTCATCCTCTCGTCTATAATCTGTATCGCAACTTACACTGTTACACACCATATTAAACTTCTCCGATCTGTATTGCGGCTTACACTGTTACACACATATCAAACTTCTCCGATCTGTATTGCGGCTTACACTGTATTATGTATTTATTTATATTTATATCTTTGTTATTGTATTCTATTAAGTAATGGAACAACATTAACAGTCGGTTCTTATGGAACTGAACCGGTATTCACGGTTCGGTTCGGTTCCATATTTATACGGTTTCGGTCCCGGTTCCCTTTTTAAGGAACCTTTATGAACTGTTCCGATCTGATCAGAACCGTACGGAACCGAACCATGTGCACCCTTACTAAACACGCCCTTAAATGTATTCTGGGCTACAATGTTGTTGGGCTATAGTATTGTTGGGTCACAAAAGTTAAAAATTCAAAAATGGGCGGGCCAGCACATCAGAAGCCTGAAATTGGGTTACCCTTTTTGACGACCCAGAACATGGGGCCCATTTTTTGGAGACTTTATTGTATCAGTTCAATAGCTAAAAAAAGCCTAGAATCTCTAAATTCTAGGCTATTGGCGTTGCTCTTATTGGGGGCTGATTTCATCGGCAACCTGAAAAATAGAGAGTGCGTTCGGTGCACGGTTCATTCTAGTCGTAAATATTGTGTATATATGACACAAATAAGTTCAGTGTATAGTGTGTTAGACGCACTCAATATCTTCTTCAAAATTTCTTATGAATTCGTTTGATTAGATGAAAATTTATAATAGAAAGTGAAAGTGAAATAAAGAAAAATTAAATTTCAATCATGCATTTTGTTAGTAAGAATTTTTTTTTTTTAAAAAGAAAATATTATTTTATTAGTTTGAATAGAGGAAAAGAATATAATTATGCTTACCAAAATACCCTTCGAATTTCAAATGAATACTCTTTATCTTCAATGGTTTATTTTAGTAAAGAATTAGTAAATATGGATTATAATTATTATTGTTATTATTATTATTATTTGTGGTGGTTTCAAGTTTTGTCTTGGCAATGATTGTCCTTGCTTTGTAGTCTGGGAAGTGTGTGATTTTTAGTGGGAGTCATTGATTTGAGATACAGTTTACACGTAAATAACTGAATGGAGAAATTGACTTGAGCTGAATAGCTAACTAACATGAAAAGCACAATTTTTGCGAGAAAATAAATGGCTTGGGCTGAATAGGTAACTAACATATAAAAACACAGTTTTTGCGAGAAAGTGAAATTTTTGTGTGTTTTATTCAGGAAATGTATTGGAGAAAATTCATGAGATGCGAAATTTTATTTTTTTTCAAAAATTTCTATCTAACTAAACTCTTAACAGAATTATAAAAATTTCGTTTCTTTTCTGTTTGCGTTACTTCACGCTAACCAAAGGGAATTAGAAAATGATTTTTCCAAAAATTACAACCCAATAGGATTGGAGAAATTAGTGTGCACCCCAATGGAACTCTTGGTTGCTCAACTTAGGCCTCCAAGCAAATCTCAATCAATATGTTGGTGGGATATATAAAATATGTTGTTTTGTCAAGTATAGGAAAACGACAAGACAAAAAGATAAATTAGTCATTACATTTATTTATTTATTTTTATCAACTGTCAATGTCCCTAAAGATTGAACAAACGACAGAAGTCTAACTGAATTAAACCCTTTTCAAATTTGATATAACTTGAAATTCAAATTTTATCAATATAATCGGAGTATCTTTGTCACGGTCCGAAAAAAAGTTGCAGGCACAATTTCTGATGAAGCTTGGGTCCACCTCCACCATATGATGGATCATGGAATAATTTTCAGTTCCCTCAAGCTAACATTTTTAGAAGCTAATATTTCAAAAATATTCAAGTGCATCGACAATCAACAAGTCTACAACTTGAATAATGCAGCTTCACATCCAAAAAGACATAATAAAAAATTAAAAAAAAAAAAAAGTGTTTCTTGAAAGTTTAACACAGGAAATGTCATTAACTGCAACAAAGCATATCCATGTATAATTACAACACAGAATGTAGATGAACTTAGCCAATGAGATTATGCTAGGTTTTTCATTGTACACACCATTGATATAGGTTCAGTGCTGAGAAGCTACAAACCCAGAACAAACATAAACTTCAATACCCCGAATAACCCAACGCGTTTTAATCACCTCCCACTTGTCTCTTCCACGAATCTTCCACAATTAATTCATCAACTCCCCAGTCTTCATAACTGGAAAATCCAACAGAATCAATTTATATACTTTTTTGGTTGTGGACTGGGAACTTAAAAAAACAGATTTATTGTTGTGATTGTTGTTAAATGAGAAAGAAAATGACACAAATTATGAAACAGGAGCCTTACCTTCCATCAGGCAGGTAGCGGCGAATGGTGAAGGGTATCTTCCGCTGTCGGAGCTCCTTCATGGCAATCTAAAACAAATAAATGAACAAAATATCATTGAGAGTCAGTGAAGCACAGGATCAATGATGTAAGCCAAATTATAATTGACAAAAAATTCTAAAACTACAAGTCTGGTTAAGCAACCCAGAAGGCCAGAAACAACTTTATCAAAAGCACTAGGCCAAATTACACTAAACCCCCCAGTAGTTTCAATAAGTTGCATAACACCTCCCTCTACCCTCAATTTATCAACAGTTGCAAATTACCCCCTTTGGCTGATGGAGAACTAAATGCTATTAAGGAACGATGAAAAATTACACAAATACCCATAGGGAGGAAATAGATAAAGAAAAAAGAAAAGAAAAAGAAAAAGGAAAAGGAAAAGGAAATAGATTTTTTTTAAAAAACCCAAATTTCCCCTCCCTTAAAACATACCAATTTGGATACATGTTTTAGGGTTTGCGATCAACAAAGTAAAAGATAAATCTAAATCTGTCTCTGCCACATTGTGACATCCTTTAACTTAGAAGTTCCAACAAAGACGAGGTAAGGTGGATGCATATTAAATTATAAAAAAAGTAATGAATCACTGCCATATATATCTTCAGTTATCAAAGAAAATGAAACCTTGAAATACTAAAATTTTTCCTCTACTTTGTCTATCAGAGGATCAAATGTCGTATTGGATAGATATATAGGATGTCTGAATATAATATATATATATATATATATAACACCATGGAAACCGATTCTCTCAGTATACCTTTTCTTACTGAGTTTCTCTCTCTGTGTTTGTATGTCGGTGTATTTAACAAATAACAAGTTATTTACTTTACATCTACAAACGAAGCTATGGAAGAGCGTATGGTAAGAACATCATTCATCCAAATATAAACGAGGATTCGAAGCAGATGAGGAGGAAGCATATTCCCAAAAAAAACGATGCGATTTTTTGATGGGGGTAGTTTTGGTGTTAAAATTGCCATAATGTTTCTTTTCCTCATATATTTTAACGGCTTACTGACAGAAGTTAAGCTCAGGAGGTAATTTGCAAATATTCATAAATTGAGGTGTCTGCCAAAAAAAAAAGTACAGGGAATATTTTGCAACTTCTTGAAACTATAGGGGGGTTTTAGTGCAATTTGACAAAAACACCAAGTTGATCTAACGATGTTGAGTTCGCTGAATGCCGCTGCTAAAACTGGAAAGTCGGAATTAGAATTCTGGATGTGTGAGATTGCATATTGCAAGACCTTTCAAGATTTCAACACTTGTTTGATAGACTTTAGAAAATTGGTTTCAGAATAGTTTAGCGATGGGCATGGTTAGGCAAAAGAAGTTTGCAACTAAAATTCATCTTTATGGAGTCTTTTAAGTGGCTTTTACAGTAACTATTTCATTTCAGGTAGAATAAAATATGAAACAATCAAGAATGTGATTCCAGTATAGATGTTTCCATCCTGTCAGTACATTTTACTAATAAAAAAGAAAAAGAAATGGATGATTGACAATAACATAGATAAGAAGCAGTAAAGACACCCCTACCCAAAAAGAGAGTAAAGAAAAGAAAAACATAGACGAGGAAGAAGAAGAAAGAAAGAAAGAAAGCAATCACACTGTAAAAGCAAAACTTTGAAGCAGTGGCTTCCCAATTGAATAATCCACCAACTTTGGAAAAGATTAGCATGATGCATTGATAAACTATGAAACCTCGTAATTATTAATTCTCATCCTTGAATCAAACTAATCTAGACCATCAATTTGAACCTAAGAAAAAAGAAAATTAAAGTTGTCATAAGTTTAGAAAACCATAAAACAAGATCTCTGATATAGGCCAAGATGTGAATTGAAACTTACCGCACTAAAGTGATTTGAACCTGCTACACTATTATGATTTGGGAAGTCCAGAAATATATGACTCATTAGCAGCCAAGTAAATAACCCCGAAACTATATAGAACTATTCTATATGAACAAAAAAGGACAGTTAAATTCTCAAAACACGGGCGATGGGCATCCAAAGCCTAAGGGCCTGCTTGGTCAGTCTATGAGAGCAATTGAAAAACAGAAACAGTTCAGCATTTGTTTGGTTAAGTAAAAGCTTGATTTGAGAGATCTGTCTTTGTAAGTTTTAAAAACTGTTTTCAGAATTATTGAAAATTGTTTTTTAGAGAACTGAATCTGCCCTAAGTTGTTGGGTTCAAGAAAACATCAATATGAAGGTAATATCAACAAGAGAGCAAACAGCGCAAAGTGAGAAGATTCATTGAGGAATATTAATGAGAATGAGCAATATTATTCAAGTCCAATGTGCTGTAAGAAGTAAGAACTAGAAGGAGACTGAAAGCGGTAATTGTTTAGGCAAATTAGGTATAAGTAGCTCATAATGGTCATATGGCATCCAGATGGCTGTTCTTTTAGGGACATCCTCATTCTTAACCTTAAGCTGATGGAACCTAAATCTAATATCAATTTTAGATAACAACAGTGCCCTTGCAACTAGCCAAACAATATATTGAACCATTGGTACTAAAGTAGATACTTTTTCTTCATAGTCACCCCATTCAGTTGTCAACAACACCGGAGCACTCAATAACAATACCCAATGTTGAATAAAAACCTTATCTAACAACTCCTCTATCTGCTGTTTAGCTCCTTCAGATTAGCCATCTCTATACTACAAGGAGCCATAGAACACAGAGCAATCTCAGGAAGTAACTAGCTTGAAAATCTGAACTTCCCATCAGATAGTAACCCTAGAAGTTCTTATGGAAATAAGTCCAGAGACACCGAAATAATAGGAATGTGGTTTAACCTCTCCCCTTTTCTACAATATGAGCAGGGAAACCTTGCACCCCTTACAAAGTAGAAGATTGTGACATCACATGGAAGGAAGAAGCTTCCTTGGCACTATGAAGGTGAAATTTTAACTGATCTGGAAATGGATGAATAATTCATTTAACTCTACTCCAATGACTCCATGGTAGTCTTTGCTGCACTACAACAACAGATTTATAATCATGGACTTTCCTTTTCCTTTTTCATTTGTCTAGTACACAGACATATTTTTTAAGTTGCATAAAAACAACTTATTATCTCACAGAAATACATAGTCCCCTGTAAATAAATAAGCGCTAGATGATCAGTCTAAAAGCATTACCAAGCAATGTCTACATATGCATGTCAAGATATGTGAGATCAATGATTGACAAGTGAAGTTTTGAAGTAACATTTTAAGAAGTCCAAATAGGAATTGATTCATCTCAAAATCAAGGTGCCATATGAATTGAAGGATGAAAAGCAAAAAATAGAAAGGGAAGAGAACCATAGAATTTTGGTCATTTAACAATTCTATACAAAGCTCCTTACCTCAAGTGGGTCAGTTTCACCCTCCAACTCAACCATAACAGGTGCATTCATGCTGCTCAACAAAAAAGTTAGTACACCAGCAATTCCACTAGTTTAACAATATTCTAAACTAAAAGCTTTGAACAAAGAACCTGATCTGCAGGGCACGGGTACCCAGGATTCTTGCACGCTCATATTTTGTCATATATTTTGACGTTTTCCGAGGTCGTTCTACTGCTTCTTGTTCTTGTTTGTCTTCATTTTCACCTAAAAGAGGGTCAGGAGCATCTTCGTTGTTTTCATTCTCACCTTCTTCCTCTACACCCTCCTGTCAGTCACCCACAAACATTTCAACCAATTTAGTTATACACCAGCAGTAAGCCCATCAAATACATTAACAGCATATCAAATAAGAACTTACATCAAGCTCGGGCTCTGGTGGCTCATCATCATATCTACACAAAGGAAGATTTCATTAACACTAGATGATAACGAAACCAAAATATTCTAGTAAGCAAACAAAACCTGATAGTTCTTGTTAAGGAAAAGTCAAAGCAAGTCTAGCAAGAAATGTGCATGCTCACTAACATACTCCGCAGGGTCATTGAAAAGGAGATTGCTTTAGGTGACAGTCTAGTGCAATCTGTGTATCTGTGTGTGCCAAGTCTATTATGCCTCCTGTTATAAAATCAGAATGTGTCTATATGGGACCATGGGATATTGTACATCACAGGGTCTGAATGTACAAGCAATAGATGAGTATGAATGGTCAATTCACAAAAAACTAGTGTTATAAAGCATGTATCATATTGGTTCCAATGTTAGTGCTACATATCAAGAAAGTACAAAAATATGAAGATCAATGAAAAATGCACAGTCGCATATTTCCTCAAAGCAGCATCCCAAAAAACAAAGAAATCCCAATTCTTTCATATTTGGAGAAAAATAGGCATAAGCACCAATGCACTAGTGCTGCAGCCTGCAAGCACTCAAATTACAGGAAATTACGAGATCTATTTCTTTCTGATCATAAGCCTCTTAGTAACAATATTATCCGACAGTACCAAGCCCAGCATTTATATTCCAATACTTAACAAAAGATCTCCCTAAAAAGATGATCAATATGAGTTTGGTTTATCCTCATTGGGACTTTGAAGCATGGTTGAGTTGCTAATAACACCGTGTCAGGAACAAAAAGGTGTATGACTCATCCAAGGAGTTTAATAGAGTAAGGTAACTAAAATATATGATTTTCACTCTCTTTCAAGACATCCATTTTGCCCATCTTTCCAGAAAAATGCACATGCTAAGTTTCACGAAAGGAATCATAGTATTTCACAAACCAATATTTCCTGTCCCATGACAAAATATCACCCCCATCATTTTGGTGGCCCAAGTGTAGAACCCCTGAAAACAATCAAGGGACATGATACTCAATTGACCCCAAATTTTCATAAGGGATCAATATCTCAATACCAACTTTGCCTATAACTTATAATGAGGCTTCACATCATTCTATAAAATTTAGCAGGATCATCATGAAAAATTCAAAGTACACGCGATTAGATGAGGTCCCAAAGATAGCAATACCAAAACCACAAGGACAAGTGAACTTTCTTCTACCTCAATGGGAAGATATGCAAATAAATGCAAAAATCAATAGTCCACTTTCCAATATGAACTCAAATATAATTGAGTCTAGGAAATAAAAAAATTACTTCATTCATCAATAAATTACCAAAACCATGTTTCACGCTTTCAAGTTTTCCTTAACTTAGGAAGTAGTCTACATAGAAGTCAATAGTGTATGGCTGTATGCATATTCCAAGTTTCAAACATTTTTCAGCCACTCAAAAGAAGACTACTATGATCATAAGACCACAGTTCAAACAATATCTTTCTAAGGCACGTTCTCTTAATTTTCCACACAAATTTTAATGTGTTGAGAATAAGTATATGTAGAGATAATGGAAAATTTAGATATCAAAAAAATTGTTTCCACTATTTTCGAAAACAATCAACCTTCAAAACAACTTGCTTTTCAAAAATATTTTGTTCTAATAAACTTTTTCGCTTTCCAAAATATGCCCTTTCTAAAACTTCTACATCTTAAAGTAGAACACTTTGATCTAATATAGTTTAGGCTTACAACTTACTATCACCAAAGCTAGAACACTTTGTGTTGCCTAGACCTAGTTCAACGGTGAAATGTTTGAGCATCGATGTCACTGATGCTATTTCGAGCCTTAAAGCAGCCATTTTCTGAAATATATATTTTTTATAAGTAAATTTCATTAAGCGCTCAAAGGGGGAGCCATCCCATATATAACTACACAAAAGCCAAAAATCCTCCACAGATTACAACTCTTCACATAGGCCCAAAAGAATAAAACAAAACTAAGAATAGAACTGGGTAATGTCCTTGTCCCTATTACCAAAGATAAGCATAAAGCAAATCCTACTAAGTCCTCCATATTGCAGCTTCTCTTTTTTCAATAACTGAAAGGGTTAAGATCAAATTTAATATGATCAGGGCATATATGATTAGGGCCTTAGGCCACATACTGTTGCCAAAGGAAAAACAAGCAAGTTTCTTATGCATGGCATACCTCATATTTAACTTTCCTATTTTCAATTGCCAAACCTTATTTGGTTTAGGTTTCACCCAGACCAAAGATAACATAAAGCAAGTACTACTACATACAAAATATTCAACTTTTTCTTTTTAATTAACCAAATATGTTTTAGGTTGTTTCTTATTGAAAGTGAATAATAAGAACAATTGTTTTTCAGGTACCCCAATTAATAGAACCATATTTCATATGATTTAAAGTCCCCTTATTAAAAATAAACAAAAAGTGCTACCACGTATTCCATAATCAGCTTATCTTTTCAATTATCTAACGGTAACAAGGTATGTAAAATATAGTATGGTTAGGCTCCATCCTTGGCATAGGTAAAAGTAGCTATAACACAAACCCAAATTTAACTTTTCAATTTTTGATTGCCTGATGGGTAGAGTAATAATAATAAGGTTTAACTTTTCCATTTTCTTCTTTTGATACTTAGTTATATATATATATATATATGTATATGTATATATATAAAATAAAAATAAATGAATACCTTGAGAGAGGAGAATTCCCAAATTACTCAATCTATGGTTTCCATAGATTCCATCATATGTGTTTGAGTTTTCATCAATCCAATCCAATTCAACTGTTCAACTTACAGAGCAAAAAAGGCAAGCGATTAAGAGAAGCAAATTCGTGAGGAGGTGAAGCCTGTAAATAAGCAGATAGATGACATGGAGACTTTCGGGGGAAAGTTTGGCGTCATCTGTGTCAAAAGGTAGCTAGGAGTTCTATGGTAAGGGAATTGTTAACCCAATTGTAATCACTTTCTCATAAAATGGATTGTGCCTGATTGGAGTAACTCCGAGGGTTTTTCCAATTTTAAATTTTTTACATGAAATTTTGTCGGTCTTTGATTTATTTGGCTTTTTATTTATTGCTTGATTATGGGTATGATTGATAGAATTGAGAATTAACTATGATTTAAATATCTATTTTCACAACAAACTAACTGAATTTAAAAAAGGATTAACGTAAATTTGAAAATTTACTTAAAAGCAAAATAATATCCATATGACCTATTCACCTCCCTCTAGGTCAAAGCCACAACACATTAGAGCCTTGGGTCTCGGTCCTACGGTTTTCTCAAGGGTATATAGAAAGCAAGTACTATTATGTAGTTCAAATTTATATCGTCCTTTTACAATAGAAGGTTAATTTTATGAGACCGAAGCTAGTGTGACATACACAAGATAAATATAATGTAAATGCCATTTAGCACTCAATTTTTAGATCTCACAAAATTCAATTTTTTCATCTTAGGTTCATATTGTCCATTAATCCAAGGGATTTTATGCCATGCATTAAGGTACTTTTTGACAATCCTAAATATAAGACAAAAACATTTTCAATAAACATTAAAATAACTCGTTAGCTAAGGACTCCTATTTTTCTAAAAAGCCACAAGCATATCTGTCAATCTTCCATAGCTTAAGCCTCAATTCTAATATTTGACAGCACAATTTCAGGGGTGAAAAACACTTGTGACCTGAGAAGGTTTATGACAATCACTAACACCAATATTTTTCAATGCCAAAATAGTAGTGTATTCTATTAGAAATCCTTCCTAAACTTTCTTTTTTTTTTTTTTTTTAATAAGTAAAATCTTTCCTAAACTTTCAAACTTTTCTACCCTTTATTTCAGTAATCAGCTCCAATATTGTTTATGATTGCTATTTAGATAAACATGGACTCCAAGTACAAAACACGAATTAAATAGTATCGTTGTATATGACATGAGAGAGAGATAAAATTGACTTCGCTTGAAATAAACCAAACAAAACCCTAAACCCTAGACATATAAACCCCAAGCCTTTGTGATCCCGAAATTAAGAGTAACAAAAACTAAATATTACAAAGATAAAAACAGAGAGTAAGAGATAGTACGAACCCTCCGTCAATCTCGTAGTCCTCATCGGCCATTGCTGCGAAGCTGAAAAGTTTTTCTGTGTCTCTCGTTCGCAAAAGCACACTGAAACGTCAAGTGAAAAATCAATTGCTTTCCCGCATGTCTTATGGAAATCGCGGTTTTCACCCGGCCCGATAGAATATATAGGTCCGATTTTAATCCACGCAACTAAGGTGCATAACAGGCCGCGCTACGGTTTTTTTGGAAAATCAGGCTCGAGCCCGTCGACCTTTGATTGTTCAACGGGCAGAGGCATTTTAAGAAATTCAAGCCCGGCCTCTGGACTTCAGAATTGCGTGCTGCGGGGACTGCGGGTTTAGAATAAGATTTTTATTTTTAAAAGGTTTTCATTCGGGCTAGATTTGATTTTTTTTAAAGTAAATCTCGTAAATAAATATATATTTAGCGGACCAATATAATCGGGGGTTTATATATTTTGGGGGTAGACCAGTACTTCTAATTTTTTTCTTTTATATATATATATATATATTCCTCCCAAACTAGTGGGAAGCACACCCAATCTGGAAGAATTTTTTATTTTTTTATTTATTTTTATTTTTTATAACATGTTGGACCGTTCATCAGGCACATATGGACCGTTCTTATAATACACACGTTCATGTAAAAGGTTTTATGCTCAAACTTGCTTTACCTGTAACCACCGCGTCATTCCCTCAAAAAAAATATCCTTGCACTTGTTAAAACTAATAGAATTAGTGAAGCTAAATGGTCTCATTTCTCTCTCTCTCCAATTTTCTTTTTCCCGCCTCCCCCTCTCTCGTTTATGCCAATTTCACCTCTGATTCTGGCTCCCTTTCTCTTCGCATTTCTCTAATTCTATCTGAATCTATAATTAAAAACCCTAATTTTTTTCGCCTAGTCTGATTCTTGTGGTCAAGTTTCTACATTTATGTGGATATTTTTTAATTTAGACCTCTGAATACTGAAGTCAAGCAACATAAGGCCATTGTTCATAGGAGACATTTGAAGCAAAACAAAACCTGATATGCAATTTTTGGCCATCTAATTTTGTACCACATCCTCTACTCAATCACCACAACGTCACCTTCACCTTCTCTCTGCCTACTAGCCTTACCGCAAGTGATCTTATGGAGTGTGCGGATTTTTATTAAGCAAAACTACCAAAACTTACATAAATAACTCAATTGGGTTTCTTGGAATCGATCCATTTCAAGAAGCTCTGTTCATCAATTGGTAGCGTTTAACTGTAAGAAACTATTAAGCCTAAAAGAAGATCGTCTTACCTCCAGACATGAAATCATATTTGTTAATGCTTCAAAATAAAGTGAGAAATTCCAAGATTTTCATGCCTATACAAGTCTATATACGTGTACTTGATGGAGACAATACAGACTGCGCTTGTTAGACATGGTACCTCTGTAAGGATACTGTATGAATAAAGCGATTGTTAGACATGGTACCTCTGTAAGGATACTGTATGAATAAAGCGAGAGAGTGCTATCCATCATGCAAATCCATTGTTTTATTCTAATAAAAATGATAACCACCTTCAACTTTCCACAACCACACTATTGTAACTTCTCAAAACATGTAAAATTGTGTCATACATAGTAGATTAGAATATGAATGTAGTATTGCAATATAGGCCACACAAGTATATTTACACGTGCTATAAATACACGTGTCTAACTAGCCATGGAAGTATATGAGAAGTATGTAGTACAAAATGTTGTTGATATGATTTTTTAAGATACGGTTTCACTAGTGCTCTAATCACACTCGTGAATACAGAGGCATTGTACCATTCTTGGCAAAAGCTTACTCAACCTAATAAGTACCATTTTGTGGTATTATTGTATTTTCATTCCCATTTGTTGGGTAAGGCTGGGTGGTGGTGTTGCAAATTGAAGGCTAATCAGATAAGTATGAAGACAAAAACAATTTAGAATCAAAGTAGAGAAAAGATACATTTTGAGCACATATTATTTAATTAACTAATGGCCTTTAAATAGGAAATACATCAACTGAACTAGACTGAAAAATAGCAACAAACTCTAGACCACTAACACATGATTTGCAACAATAAAATAAACTAACAAAATGCCTAAAAACTAGGACAACTTGAAAGGCAACTTTGAAAAATTCATTACAAACCCTCCCTTAAACTGATGTTTTCAATCATTTAGTTTAATACATAGGTAAAAAATCAGCTCCCTCAAATATCTAGCATATAAACACCCATCAAATCTCTTAACTTCAGAAACGAAGGCAATTTTGAGGGGCTTTGTGAATATGTCTGCAACCTCATGTGCATGTCAAGCTATATAGTTGAAGAAAATTCTTGAAGTTTCAAGTGACAAGGGCCTACTGAAATTTTTTGTGACAACAACTTAGCAATCAAACTCTCAAAAAATCTTGTTTTGCATGAAAGAAGTAAGCACATAGATGTGAAGTTTTATTTTTTAAGAGATCTCACAAAGGATGGAACAATTGAGCTCATCTACTGCAGAAAATACCACTGTTGTGCACATGAGGTTGCAGCAACAAGTTCAGCTTCAGTGGTTGATAAAGTGACGATTGACTGCTTCTTTGATGACCATAAAATAGCCTCTGAACCAAGCATAAAAACATAGCCTGAAGTGCTTCTTCTATCATCTTGATCCACTGCATGATCGCTGTCAGTAAAGCCAATCAAGTCTGAATTTTCTCCCTTCTTGTAGAACAACCCAAATTTCATAATACCTTACAAGTACCGAAGTATCCTCTTGGCAGCTAGAAGATGCATCTCTATGGGATTCTCCATGTATCTGCTAATGAGACTCATATCCAAATGGAAGATAAGCCATGAGTTTGGAGCTGCCAATGCAATCACCAATCTGATCATGTCATGTCGTGCAACTGGTGCAAAAACTCTTTGCAGTCGATGTCGAACTCTTGCTTGTAGCCTTTGGCTACCAAGCGTGCCTTGTACTTGTCAACTTAACCATTCTCCTTTAATTTTGTCTTATACACCCACTTCACACCAATGGTCTTTTACCCTTTTGGAAGCTTCGTCAACTCCCAAGTGTTGTTTCTTTCGATGGCCATAATTTTAGTATCCATAGCCTTTTGCCACTTTGATTCTTTGATAGCCTCTTCAAAATTTATTGGATTACAGTCTGAAAATAGGAAAAAATGGGTAAGTGAATCCTCAGAATAATCAATTCCTATTACCTCATAGTCTGACATCCATGCTGGCTTTCGTCTAACACGTTGAGAATGTGAACCTACTATAGCATCAACTTGTTCATCATGTTCTGCTGTTGCTGATGTAGTTTTAGATGCTATAGAAACTTCGTTTTCAGTATCTTCAAGAGTAAAAATTACTGGAGCTTGTTGTTGATGAGGCTGTTGTGTTTCCTCTTCATTTTCACCATCAAAGTCTATTTGTATTGACTGTCCAACGCCATTTCTGCTCCAAGACTAGATTCTATCTTCATCAAATACAACATCGTGGCTAATGACAATTTTCTTAGTGATAGGATTATTCAATTTGTAAGCTTTTGAATGATCACTAACACTAAGAAAAATGTATTTTTCGCCTTTGTCATCTAACTTTCTTCTCTTTTCATCTGGAAAATGAGCATATATATGCTATACACCCAAAAATTCTTAAGTGCTCAACACTTGGTCTTCGTCCATCCCAAGCTTCTTCAAGCGTCACGTTTTGAACAACAAGTGTGGGGCTCCTATTTAGTACATGAATGCTCCAATTGACAGCTTCGGGCTAGAAACTTCTTGGGATCCTGTTTATTGCCAAAATAGGCAACACCATGTTCAAGATTGTACGATTCTTCCTCTCTGAAATGCCATTTTGCTGTGGTGTATAAACTGCTGTCAGGCGAAGAATCTTTATAGACAAGCCCGCTTCTTTTTCGACCAGCGCCTTGAAACATTTTAAAAGCTGAAAATGTTTCAGACTTCTCTTGTAAAAAATAAGCCTATATTTTTCAACTATAATCATCAATGAACTTTATAAAAAAACGTTTACCACCATTTGATGTCGGATTAATGGGTCTGCATATATCAGAATGTACCAGCTCCAACACCTCATTCGCTCTCCATGATCTTCCTTTCGGAAAATGATCACGATGTTGTTTACCAACAACACATTCTTCACAAATTTGAGAAGGGTGCTGAAGTTGCGGAAGACCCGTCACCATGTTCTTCTGATGTAGCATCTTTAAACCACCAAAATTCAGATGTCCATAGCGAAAATGCCATAGCCATGCCTCGTTCTTCAATCTCACAGAAAAACATGACTGGGTGGTGTTATCAAGATACAATGGAAACATCCGGTTTGTCGTCATGTTAACTTGAGCAATTAAGCCCAACTTTTCATCTTGAATGCGATAGACTCCATCTTTGATAGAAATCTCATATCCCTTCTCTTGGAGCTGACCAACAATTAGCAAGTTGGTTTTCAGATCTGGAACAAAGAAAACGTTAGAAATAATCTGATTGGAGTTTTCATTAGTGTGGATTTTTACATTTCCTTTACCCATGATAGATACTTTAGAATCATCACCAAACTTCACAGAACCACAAAAAAATTCATCCAAATCAGAGAAAGCAGGCTTGCCTCCACACATATGGTTGCTGCAAACTGTGTCTAAGTACCACAAATTCTTCTGGATTTCCTCCTTCACATGACAAGCCATCAATAAAGTCACTTCTTCTTCCTTTTCTGCAAAATTAGAATTTCTACCATCATTTCTATTTAAATTAGTTCGACATTTAGACTTGTAATGGCCATACCTATGACACCTGAAGCATTCAACTTTTGATTTATAGGACAATTTTGGCTTAAAAGAAGTTGAATGATTGTTGTCAAGACCTCTTCCTATTCCTTGAGAGTTAGAAAACTGATTATCTTCAAATCTCTGATATGAATATCTACCATCATTGTTGTTTTTGCCCCTTCTTCTTCCTCGACCACCTCCTTTTGATGACAAGAAAGAATTATTAGATGAGACTTGTAAAGCTTGCTTCTGCTTATTTTGCTGATTAATTTTCTGCTCATAAACTAATAAGGAACTCTACAGTTCATCAATGGAAAGTTCTGCTGTATTATTAGATTCTTTAATCGAACAAACAACATAGTTGAATTTCGCTGTTATTGAATGAAGAATCTTCTCAATGATAGTGACCTCTTCTAACTTTTCGCCATGAATCCGCATCTTATTTGCGATTGCCATCATTTTCGAGAAGTAATCTTCCACCGACTCTCCAGTCTTCATGTGTAAAGTCTCAAAATCAGCGTGAAGAGCTTGGAGTTGTGCTACTTTGCCTTTATTGTCCCCTGGTACTTCTTTTTCATAGAGTCCCAAATCTGTTTGGAGGTGTCTTTGCAAAGAGTTGTCTCTAAGATAGAACGATCAATTGCCTGAAAAAAAATAGTTTTTCACCTTTAAATCCTTCACCTTCAGTGCTTCAAACTCCGACTTCTGCGCATTCGTCAACATTGTACCGGCTGCTGATTCTGCTACTCTAGAAACAATCACCTGCTAATACTCTTTAGAGCGCATGAAATTCTCCCTTAGCATGCTCCAATGGTCATAGTAACTATCAAAGCGTAGAATACTTGGTGGCACAAAGCTTTTAGAAGCCATGAAAGAACTGCTACTTCAATAAATGAATTTGTTGCTGCTGCACTCTCAAACTCACTTTTTCATTCTCGGTGGCTCTGATACCACTGTTGCAAATTGAAGGCTAATTAGATAAGTATGAAGATAAAAACAATTTAGAATCAAAGTAAAGAAAATATATATTTTGGGCACATATTATTTAATTAACTAATGGCCTTTAAATATGCAATACATCAACTGAACTAGACTGAAAAGTAGCAACAAACTCTAGACCACTAACACATGATCTGCAACAATAAAATAAACTAACAAAATGCCTAAAAACCAGGACAACTTGAAAGGTAACTTTGACAAATTCGTAACAGGTGGTATATGTATCACCTACTCTCACTAAGACTGTAACTCATGTGTAGGCCGGTCGATGGATTTGGATTCGGATCTAGATCGAATCGATTAAATTCATATTCGATTTGTTAAGCTAACAAATTATTGTATTCGGATCACTAACAGGTTATTGGATTGAATGTTCCAATCAATTTCCTATTTAGCTCGAATTCAAATTAAAATCATATTCACTAACATGTACAATTATAAGGTTAGATAGAGTGGAGAATAATTAATATATAAGATGGTGCATAATATAACTATGCAACTAGGAGGTGAGTTTTTGAGATCTCGCTTTCGAGCCGCACTCTTGACTTAAATGATGCGTGTGTTGTGGGGTCGATATACACGTTCTCTAAAAAAAGAAAAAAAAAAAAAAAAAAAAAAAACTATGCAACCAAATGAATATAGTAGTAAATAATTAATATATATATAAATTTAATAGTAGATAACTAATATATATAACATTCACATATATTATATTGTAATGTAATAATAAAATATATTTAAACATATATAATTTTTATCGAATCGGATTAGCTGTAATCCACATCCTATTTTTTAAAGTAATAGATTATTGGATTCGGATTATTATTGTTTCCCAATTCATATTCGGATAATCAGACTGGATTCGAATTGAATTCAGATTAACATTTGATCCATTGACAGGTCTACCCATGTGTGTTCATTTCCAATCATGAAATTCCTACATTTCTTAACCCAAATTTTGAGTGAACATGTAAATCCGTATATTCGTATTTGTTAATTGTGTCATAGTTGGTATATCTATAATTTTCATTTTTCTCGTGATTGTTCCCAACAAAACATACAATTAACACCACACATTTCATTTTAGTACAAACACATACATCTGAATTATTTTGTAAAAACACATACATTTTTTCTTACTTTTGGACATAAACTAAGTGGCTTTTCCATCTGTAGTGTCATGCCAAACTTTTCGTTCATGTAAAGATTAGTCGAACCCATGCCAGGAGGTAGACACTAATCAAAGTAGTGTATTAGACTAGCTTAACAGCCACAGGCAATCCATACCAACGAATCAACGATGCAACAAGTAACCGGACTAGCTTAACAGCCACAGGCAATCCAGGACAAATTCTTCTTCCCGCACTAAAAGGAATTAATTCGAAATTGGTTCCTTTGAAATCTAAATTTGATTCAAGGAATGGTTCGGGTTTAAAGCTCAAAGGGTTATACCATGTCACTGGGTCTCATCCGATTGCCCAAATGTTAACCAGCACAATGCTGTCCTTAGGAATGGTGTAATTCATCACCTTGCACTTATGTAACGCGCGATGAGGCATAAGAAAAGGGACAGGAAGGTGCAATTTGAGTGTTTCTTTAAGACATGCTTGGAGGTAGGGAAGATAAGGTAAATGAGACTCCTTTAGGGCATCTCCTCCAATGACTTTTGCATGTTCAATGCGAAATTTTTGCACGACCTCTTCGTCTTTTAGAAGTTTTGCAGCATCCACTCCACTGCTGAACAAATGCTGTCTGTAACAACAGTCAATAGCTCTTAAACATGCACAAACAATTAAAGATGAAATTTAAAAAGCACAATTAATAGAATTAATGAGTATTATAATTTTTAATTAAATAAACATAAATGTACCTAATTAGAAGCTAATACTAATAATATATTATGATATCTAAGAGTCTTGGAGCCTTGTTAGAGACAATTTTTTTTTCTCTTGATGGAGTGTCTGGAACTTTGCCCCAACTAATCTCGGACCTCTGTAAGGCGCTCCCACACGGATCGGGTAAATCTCTGATTATATCCGTGGGTGTGGCTCCTAAGGAATTGTTTACACTTAAAAGTAATCGATCCTGAAACCTAATTCTTCATGAGGTACCCCAACCAAGTATTTTACAATTAGGCCAAACCCGAGTTTTGTTAGAGACAATATTATAAATGAGTATAATAACGAAGTGCTCCAACGCGAGATCAAGTCCTCATTCGTTTAATTAAGTATTCCGTGTCGTCACGTACTCGATCAGACGAGCGAATAAGCGTTCTCTAGAATTTTTTTATATGCTTGCATTTCTTCAAAGTGCGCACATTTACTAAGAATCGAAAATTGGAACAAATCTAGGATGATACATGCTCAATAAACTTGTGGCTGATCATAATTTTTTGTAGAAAAATATTCTAAAACAGTTGTAACTTTACATGTATAAGTAGTTGTAAGTAACAATATATATACATATATCTATCTTTATCTGTCAAAGTAGAGGATCAAAGATTTAATTGCTTTAGAGATAATGTGCATCCACAGTAACAGTCAGACCTTTAGTCACTTTTAGGAAAAAAGCCGGGATTCCTGCCGCAGATTCCGCAACAGTAGTCACAAGTTCTCCTATATGTATAACTTATTTTCATTTGTAAAAGCAGGCTTTTCTTTCAGAAGTTATTTCTCGTTTTGCTTTCTCTATTGTTGTATCCAACCACAATATGTTGCATTCAACAGTTTACTCTTCTCAGTGATTTAGTAAGTGTTATATATATATATATATATATATATACCAACTATTCCTTAATATTAAAAATACTATTACTATTAATAATACTACAATTAATAATAATAATAGTAATAATAAAACTATCTTTATACATATATATCCCTATAAATATATATATACAATTATTAATAGGTAAATATCCATACCCAATAAGAATGCAATCCAAGTAATACATGTGACCTAAATGGTTGGTCCATTACTATTATCCATATCAATCCTTTAAATAAAATAAACAATTCAAATTACAAATAAACACATAGTATTTGAACAAATAAGTACACATCATTTAGCACGGAAAAATAATACAATCAAATTTAAATTAAAATATACCATTTAAGCACATAATTAATTTAAACAAATATTTCAATTAAAATACACAAACAATTAGCCACGTAATCAAATAATTAATTAAAAATGTAATAAAATAATTAAATAAATTCTGAGACTATCCTTTTAAAATTAGGAGTATTATACATACCTTACCCGAACCTATAGAGCCTACCTCCGTAACACAAGCTAAAAAACACCCATAATGGCGTACTACCATATGCGATGAATTTGATGCTCTTGTTCGGAACTCCACCTGGGAACTAGTTCGCCCTTCTAACACACAAAACATTGTCAGGTGTAAATAGATTTTCAGGGTCAAGCACAATCTAGATGGATCGGTGGTATGATACAAAGCTCGCCCGATAGCCAAGGGGTTTCATTAACGCCCTGGCCTTGATTTCCAGGCCACATTCAGTCGAGTCATTAAGCCTACTACAATTTAATTGGCCAATCCATTAGTTGGACATTAATAATGCCTTCATTTAAGGCACCCTTGAGGATGATGTATATATACAACAACCACCAGGTTTTAATGACCAACAGTTTCCTAATCATGTCTGCAAGTTAAGAAAGACAACCTATGGCCTTCGCCAAGCTCCTCGAGCTTGGTACAATGAATTACGGGGCTTCCTTTTCTCTTATGGATTTATCAACTCACAGTCTGACACCTTTTCTTTTTATACTTCACCATGGGTCACTAATGATTTTCCTGTTGGTTTATGTTGATGACATTCTTGTAACAGGAAATGACTCTAAGGCCATTCAGACTTTCATCTCTCCCTTCTCCAGTCGATTCTCTCTGAAGGAACTTGGCTTCTTTAACTATTTCCTCGGTGTGGAGGTTATCAATACAAGCAAAGGCTTATTTCCCTCTCAACACAAATATATTTATGATCTCTTTGATAAAACAAATATGCATGGTGCCAAGGAGGTCGATCTCCAGTCCTCTTTCCACCTCTGAGAGACTCACGCTTCATGATAATGCACCCCCACTGAAGCAACACAATATCACAAGATCATTGGTGCTTTGTAATATCTAGCTTTAACAAGGCCGGATATTTCCTTTTCCGTCAACAAACTTTCCCAGTTCATGCACCATCCATCTACCACTCACTGGGCTGCGGTCGAAAGAGTTCTACGCTACCTTAAAGGCACCTTATATCATGGTCTTCTTCTTAAACGGTCTTCATCATTCTCACTTCACGCATTTTCCGACACCGACGACAAAACCTTCACAACTGCTTATGTGGTATTCCTTAGTGCCAACCCCAATAGTTGGAGTTCTAAAAAGTAACGTACTATGACCCGCTCATCCACTGAAGTGGAGTATCGAATAGTTGCATCCATTGCAGCTGAGATCAATTGGTTACAGAATCTCCTTCGTGAACTTTGCTGTCCAATCCCTACTGCTCCAACGATTTTTTGTGACAATGTCGGGGCCATATACCTCTGCACCAACCCTGTGTTTCATTCTCGAATGAAACATATTGCCATTGATTTTCATTTTGTTCGCGATCAAGTTTCCAAGAAATTGCTCAGACTTTCCCATGTGCATTTCGCTGATCAACTTGCCGACTCATTAACCAAACCATTATCCCGCCAACAACTTCAGCGACAACAAATCAAGATAGGTATTCTTGATGGAACTCTAGTCTTGAGGGGCCATGAAAGAAAGATGACACATAAAGCTCCACCAAACTTGCCCACCTAATGTCCGGATCATACTTTTCATATTTATCTCTATGCAATTATGTACAAATCAGGATCCACTAATATAGCATGTAATTAGGGGCACGTTTCTATTTCTATCTCACTATTTTGTATATATTGAGTAATGTACAGACAATAGAAAATAGAAGAGAATTTCACAATTCTTTGTGTTTTATTATTTAAAACTTGATGAAATTAACACTTTTACCTTCCTCGACAATTTTTGAAAGCACCTCTAAAAACTAAAAATTCTAAATTTAATCCTCCAACCAAATCTTGGTAGAATTAATAAATTTTCCTCATTTTTGCAAGATTTTTGGCAAGACAATCCTAAAAATTTGAAATTTAAGACATTTTAAAAAATAAAAAACTATTAAGGTCTTGCTACCTCATCCGAGGGTTATGACGATTTATTCCACACTTTATCATTGCATTATCAAATGCTCTTATACTATTTCTAGCGTTATCATTGCATTATCAAGGACCGAACCTATGTTCTTCCTTATTATCATAGCCACAAGTTGGTGCTGCAATTGTAGTCATTGTAGTGTTTTCCAAACCACCATCAATCTGACAACACTGTGCGCATTATTAAATGATGCGTCATACTATTTCGAGCTTTGTTGCTGCAATGTCAAATAGTGTTTTATAGAATCTCGTGCTCTATCATTGCATTGTCAAATCTGTTTCGTTTAGGTGTAGTAAATCAATGGTTTGAATTTTGGAGATTCAATGCTTTCATACTTAATAATAGTGTTTTATCCTTTGTTGGAACTTTATCATCGCATTATCAAAAAAGTGTTTAAATTATGTGATCATTGATTAGGGGGCCATTATCTTCCTTATATATCATAGCCCATGGTGGTGTAATGCAGTTTAAATAATTTCTGGAAAATTTTGCCCCATTCTCAAGATATTGGTATTATATTACAACTTCTAGAAGTGAAAACTATTTTATACAATTTCTTGAACTTCACAAAAAAAAAAAAAAAAAAAAGAAAAAGAAAAAGAAAAAGAAAAGTTAGGCCTTCCACCTCCACCATTTTTTACAAATGTTTAAACTTGTAAATGAAAATGGTCTTCCATATACACAATAGATTAATACTACTATAAGACCATTTTTTTTTTTCAATTGCTTAAATTTCCGAAAGGGGTTTCCATCATTGCATATTATTTGGTATATTATATTAGTGTTTACACTATTATTTTCTCCCAATGGAAAAGCAAACACATGGAAGGGATTTTTAGTCAAGCCAGGTTTTGTCACATGAAAGAATTTGGGTCAAGCCAATTTTTTGATGGGTGAGAGTTTTGCTTAAGGAAGATTCTCAGTAAAATCTAATTAGAGATAGTTTGGTTATATTAAACTACTCTAATTTGTTGCAGGAACGTGTCAATTATTGGAGTTCCATCACAGGAAAAACTACGTAAGAAATACGACTTGGTCAAAGGAATGTGACAATTATTGGAGTTCCATTACAGGAATACGACCTGGTCAAAGGAACGTGTCAATTATTGGAGTTTCATCACAGGAATACGACCTGGTCAAAGGAATGTGTCAATTATTGAAGTTCCATCACAGGAAAAACCAAGTAAGGGATGCGACCTTGTTAAAGGAACGTGCCAATTATTGGAGGTCCATCGCAGGAAAAACCATGTAAGGGATACGACCTAGTCAAAGGAATGTGTCAATTATTAGAGGTCCACCGTAGGAAAAGCCACATAAGGGATACGACCTGGTCAAAGGAACTTGTCAATTATTGGAGGTCCATCGCAGGAAAAGCCACCTAAGGGATATCACCTGATCAAAGGAACGTGTTAATTATTGGAGTTCTAGACGTGGAAATTAGAGTTCCTAAAATGTGGAAGTTGGTTTTCTTCAAAAGCCACGATACAACAAAACTCTAATCGTTTTAACGTGGGCCACTACTACCACCATCTTGAAAAAAAAGGAGTAATGGCCATTGCTCAGACAAAAGGTATCATGCAATCTGTTTGGGAAATAACGGCATCAAAGGCACAATTACATGATTGGAACGTGAAGTTCCAGAAGAATCAAAGCACGATTATATGTTTGGAACATAGAAGTTCTACAGGCATCAAAGGCACGATTGCATGGCTTGGACACTTGGAAGCATTTGGAGGCATCAATGGAACTGCTCGGAACTGCTATTGTAACTAATTATATTTTCATTCTATAAATAGGTCATTATGTTGTAACGTAATAGGCCTGCTCAACGCCAAACACAGCATTTCAATACAATTTTACTTTTCATTGTAATGCACTTTCAATATAATTAGTCTTAGTCCTGCACTTTACTTTTCATTAGATAATTCATTTACTTTCATAAGTAACATAGTTCTTCCTTGTAATGACCCGGTCATTTTCCTCCCTTTCATTTTTCTCAAATTTTACAGATATTTTTTTTTCCGTTGTCTTTTCTTTTTTGAGTTCGATTTCTCGTCTCTTGGTGTCGTCTCGAGTGTTCAAAAATAGTTTCTAAGACTCTTTCCTTTGGATTAACAACTTCCTTGTTAGGATCACGTCATTTCCATACTTTCGTTTTTCGACACTATTCACTTTTCGTCTTTTTCCCTGTTCGTCTCTTTTTGGCACAACCTCACTTTTCGTGTTCGGAGTTGGCTTTTGATTTCACGTACCTTCATTTTATATGGTTTCCATGAAGTACGTATCTTTACTTTTGTAGAAAAGTATTCTGGTTGCTCTCGGTGTCCATAGGGGCATGGATGTAAAGTTTCTTCGGAAACATTCTTCTTTCTTGGGGTGTTTTTCATAAATATCTTTTGAAGATATTTTATTTTAGGGGTTTTTAAGAAAGTATCTTTTGAAAGATTTTTTCATTCTGCCTAAGTTTTGTAGTTACACTTTCTTGGAGGGGCCATTGTGCAATTAATGAAAGTTATTGCAAAATGCCTCATTTTGAGCCTGGATCTTCATACGGAATTCATTTTCACATTTTGTCGAGTCGTGTACTTTAGAATTCCCTTCCGATCATTTTCCCCAGTTTTAGGGTTTTCGGCCCGGGTTGCCGCTGAACTTGTTCAGGGCATATCTTTCTGCACGGGACTCGATTTTTAATGTCGTTGATTCTGTTGTTCATTTTTTTTCATTTCGGTTCTTTTTCTTTCACGATGTTTTACCTTTTGAGCGCTTCTGTGCAAATTCCACTTTTCCGGACTTAACGGGGCCCGTTTGGGGCAGTTTTAGGGTTTTATTATAAATAGGATGCCCTAAATGAGAAAGTCAACATTTCAGCCTTCTTCCTCCCTCTTTGGCCGGCAGCCAGGGCAGCCGCTTGGGCTGCCACTATTCTTTCTCCTGCTCCACTCTCTTCCCTTGGTTATTTACTTTGAGCATTAGCGTTTATCGAAGGCCTTGGCGAGGCGCACCTTTCCCCCTTATTAGAATCCATTTTTGACCATTTTTTAGTTCGGGTTTTGAGTTCGGGTTTGAATTTTCATGGTACCTCAAAGGTTAAAGTTGCTTCCCTCGTTGTCCCCAACATAACCTAGGAGTATCATCGAATTCGAAACACTTTTCTTTCCATGGGAAATTGA